TTATCCTTTATTCGTCGGTCCCATCTAGCATCCCGAAGGACCAACCGGTTTTCTACGAGAGTTCTCTCTAGCGATCCTCTAAACGTATTCTAATTAAATTTGCGGCGCTTATTATTTTTTCTCTTTCCTCTTTCTTTTCTTCTTTTATTGTGCATTATCTGAAAATGCATGAGTAATGCGACTTTTTATAACATTCCGGAAGTCAAGTTCTTTTCAAAGGCACTATTGTACGCGAACGGAAATACGGCCCGAAGAAAGTTACGCCCTTTCCGATGTTCTTGCTCAGTATCTGTCGTGAATCGGTAAGATAAATGTATCAGTTAATATACATGATTCAATTATTGGACAAAATATCAAAAATTTTTAATGTCAAGCTTTCAATGATATGTACGACTCTAAAGAAATATTGATAAGCAATGTTTATAAACAAATTTATTTAGAATTGTATATCATTTGAGAGCGAACGTGGTAAAGCAAATAGAGATCTCGGGTTCGATTCCCAAAAGAACCAAAGTATTTCTACACGCTCGTGTCTCCTCTCAGAAGGAAGCGACAACCGAGAGTATCTTCGCCAAGAACACTTCTCTAACATCTAACAAAATTTCGTCGTTCGGAATCGTTAAACAGTAGATGCTATATGACTGTATACATACAATCAGCATGTGTACCACAGACGAAAGAAGTCACCATACTCAGCCATGAGAAATGGAGTAGCTGAGAAATACATGGCAATTAAATAATCAGCGTGCACATCATGAGAGAGGTAACACAGGCCTAAGAAAAAATACATATCATTTAGAAGCTTAATATTTAAAATATTTCGTCCAATAACTGAGTCATGTTCATTAACTAGTAGATACATTCATCTTACTTCCTGAAGCTAAGCTCCACATACATCGGATAAGATCTCAAATCAACCGGTTACTTTTCATCGTTGTCGAAAAAACTTGATCGTATCATTTTCGATTCCACAAAAGATACCGAGGAGAGGGCTCCGCTGGCAATCGGTTAAAGCGACTAGATTTTTGTAAAATTTTGCACAAACGCAACGCGATCTCCTCGTTTCAGTAGTAATTGATCAATGACTGCATATGTAAGGTTGAAAAAAACTTTTTTTTAAAGTTGACGAAGTGATTCAATCTTTCTGTATCTTTAAATTATAATGGGCACTAAATGAATAACGAGATAAAGTGAGAAATAATATATAATTACTAATGATACCAATGTATCATGAATAACACATTATGTGATAATAAGTAACGTTATTTCTTGAGATCGGATCGCGATTGACGACTGATCGATGTCGATTAGCAAAACGTATGGATTTGTCTGTGTAATGAAATTTGCGCTCGTCTTTTCTCACACCGTCGAGGATGCCTTTCAGTAAAATTACGCATTCCTGTGTTTGTTTAAGGAGGGATCTTACTAACAAATTTTGTTTCTTCAACAAAAAAAAAACCAGAGCTACGTATCAAGGTATATAAAAATGGCACTTATACAAAATGGTAACATTATAAATATAATTGTATTTGTAGAGCTATTCAAGAAAGAGATTATATCATTGGACAAATGAGCGAGTTAAATTATTGAAAGATTACAATAATGTGAAAAAAAGCGGAAAAAAAATACAGAATTAAAGTAACAGATTTAAAAAGATAAAGATCTTAAAAAGCTACGTAGGAAAATAAATTCAGCAAAAACGAAACGATTTGAAAATATTACGGTCCCTCCTCAAAACGCATCCCATCTCCACATTGATAAACATAATGATTTCTTGCGATCTAGTGTATAATCTTTATATGAAATATTTTTTATACATTTTCTTATAGTTAAGCAACCAATAAACCCCACCCGCTTTTTAGCGTAAGCCTTAAATGTAAAATTAAGATTTATTTTAGGGGTATATAAGTAACAATGTAAGAATTTATATACATATATATAGATATATATATATACACATATATATGTTATATATATATATATTATATGCATATGTATATATATACGTATGTATAATATATAATCTTTTTTTTTACATTTCGGGGTCGATCTTGTGGCGTGGCTCTCACCAACTTTGGATAAAAATTATTTACATTATGTTACATTTCTGTCTCTTCTACAAAAAAGGGGAGAACAACGTTGCACGATAACGTATATTAGATATGAAACAGTGCAATTACAGTGAGAAAAATCGGCGCCAAGTACTTCGTTTTTTTTTTCTCTTCGAATATCAACGTTTTACTTCAGTATTTCTGTATTTTCCTCCCATATTTAACGATTGCTAAACCACGCCACGAGAAAGAAGCCTGCATAACATATAAGCCGATCGTATATTTAGCTTGTATAAACTTATCTAAGATCTTATCTCGTTATTCGTGCGCTATATAAAGGCTTATATAGCTTACACTATAATTATTGGCTTAAAAATCTACAGGTACATCTAAATCGTTTAAAATCGAACTATGAAAGTATGTACAATTAATGAGCACGCAGTTTATTTTCTCTCGCCTGTACATATCTATTATTATATCGCGACTGATAAATCGATAGGAAATTATTTGTGCTAACAACTGTCCCTCGTCTGTTCAATGATCATTCTCTTCTCTTTTTTTTCTCCCTTCGCTTAGAAACGTTTCCTTTCGTCTCGTTAGTAAATCATTCTCGGTTGTTCGTGGTAACTTGAAAAACATTAACGTGCGTAGTTTCGTTGTACATCCGAATATTAATACAAACGAGAAAGGAGATCTGATGTCGATCACGTCTGAATACGTTTAGAAAGATGAAAAAAAAATTATTTTTAAATAAAAAATCACGAATAGATTCTTTCTCGTATAAAAAAAAAAACAGAAGTCTAAAAAAGGTAAAGAAACGATTATTAAATCAAAGTCTTAAAATTTGAAGACTCCAATTCCCATTAAGAATCTAAAAAAAATGAAAAAGAGAAGAGATGCGTAATTAGATATAATCAATTTTTTTTTCTTATAAATTGATCGTGTTCATTCTCAGATGAATTCGCTATCGAACAGACGCAGAGACTTTCGATTGTCGCCTCGTTTAAGAATCATTGTCAGCTTTTGCTATCACTGTGCCTTCACAGAAGCAACGTCTCGATGTGTCTCTTTTTGTTAATTAAGAATTTAAACATTATTCTTTCACGACACAAGACTTTATTCTCTACTATTTAGTCCCATTTCCTAGTCATTATTTATATTGCAAAATCAAGAAGTTCATTAACAAGTGATATTATAGCGTTTAACTTTTTGTTACTATCAACATTTGAGTGTCATTCATAAGATATATCAATACGTTAATTGTAATCTCAATCGATGATACGAAGTCCGATCCCGTCTTCGTATAATTTTAATTTTTGGATTATGTCCTGTCTAAATAGCAAAAGCGGGTTTCATTGGCGTAATAATGGGAAGACAAAGAAAGACGGGAAGAATCCAAAAGATTGCACGAATACATTATCCGTAGCGAAATCATTTGCGCTTTACTATGCGTCTATTACGATTAACGTTACGCAAAATCTATTTTCATTTTTTTCTTCGATCTCGAGAATTAATGTGTCGATATTGCAATCTAGATGTTTTGAAAGACATTTTTGCGCGTGGCGCTCGAACAAATAAAATATTCGGTATCGTGTGTTTCCGAATGTAATATTAAATACGTTATACTCATGACTTAAGTGTCGATTTTTCATGTAATAACGTATATCCGTTAATAAAGAAATAAAAGTTATACGTGACGAGAATTTACAGCCTTTCTTGCCATTCAAAGGCATTTTCTTTTTCTCTTTCATCTTCCTAATCAACACTACTTACCGTTCACTTTCGCTCAAACATTATATTGCTTATTGTATCGTGATAACTGTATCACCTATCTTGACTTTTCTATTGTAAACGATGTGTGATATAATACGTGAGCTCAATACGTGACTAGTATGTTCAGGACGACAGGATTAGGATATAAACATAACAATTTTCTGCGTTCGCACGAAAGCCGTCTCATCATCCTTCGAATATGCATTTTGTGAACAGTCTACAGTGATCGATTATCGACTTAAGAAATAAAGAACAACCATCAACACAATTTACTAATTCGTTTGATTGATTAATTGATAAAAACGGCCGGTGCATTTCAATTCTCTATTTATATATACAAGTCACTCAATTTATTATTATTATTATTATTATTATTATTATTTATTATTATTATCCTCTCGTTATGCAAAATCAATACGATATAAATCAATCTTCGTAACACTTTCATTTCATCAAAACGTATAATATTTATAATATAATTATTGCATAGACAGCGTATGTATAAATATATGCATATGCAAACTCGATTAGTGCGAGTAATACATTAAGAATTCATCAAGTGATTTCTAAAAGCTTGATTCCAAATAACTTTGAATTGAAAGTCTAAAAAAATTTACATTTTGGGGACTGACAACGTTAACTTTTCTGTATCTGTGTTATATTCACGCAGATGTTTTCGTGATCTGCATTTTATGAAAAATAAATATGGCAAAATTGATATATATGTATATATATGTATGTACATATATATAGATATACATTGCGTTATATGGAAGTACGCCACGATTACATTTAGTCTTAAAATAGAAGCTCTGAATGTAACACTTAACCGCTACCACTTCAAGAGAGTAAGTAAATACTATTGTAAATATATTTCAATGATATATAAAGAACGCGTGTCTTCTATAAAAAAAATTATGCTAAAAAATAAAAAGAAGAAAACTGAAAAGGGCGCCTTTTCCAATAAAAAATGTTAAATATTCGCAAAAAGATAGAAATTTAAATAATCTCAATAATAATCAGAAAAGACAAAGCAAATCCAATGACAGTCATATAGATGTGTATCTACACAACTGAGTATTCACGAATTATATGATTAGTTTTTCTGAATTTATGATAATAGATTAATCAAAATTAATATTTAGGCATTTACCTGTTATATATATATATATATGTATATATATTTAGTCTTTATGTTGTCTTTTAGATAAAAGTAGCACTTCATCTTTTTGCATACATCAAACACTCGTTTGAGCAAACAATATCTTACAGGACGTTTCTGCACAGGTAATGTTCGCCTGCTCGAGGTGTTGTCACTATATTTGTATCAGAATATGAAATAAAAGTGTAACTGAAAGTACTAGGATATATACATTTCCATCGTTATATTGCTTCATGTACACACACGCATTCTCATCATTTTTCTGGCTTCAGTTCTATCTTGTAACATAGTTAAATATCGCAAACAATATGAAAAGCGAGTGAAAATATCTTTCGTAATGCGCTACCACGCCAAGGGGTTTAAATATCGGTAAATATAATCTTAAACGCTAAATCACGGTTCTAAATCTATTATCAAGAATTTACTTCATATTCCAATAATAATAATCTCTAAAATCACACAAATAAGATTAGAGATTTCCATTTTTCATTTTATGATATTAATTCTCAATAATGTATATTACCGAAAATACTATCGCCACTTCATCTAGAGGGCGATTCGATTTTCTGTCAATTCACAGATTTATTCGAAATTTACGTGTTTTTTTTTTATCGCTGCACCATTTTATTTTTGAGAGGTAGACGAGCCCTCTGTCTTAATCGTGACGGATTTGCTCGCTTCGAAGTTGGAGCTGGCTTGAGTTCGTTCTCTGGCAGTGACTTACGATTTATTCGCTTCAAAAGGTTTCGTAGAGAAACCAGAACTCTGTCTATTTCGCTGACTGCTTGATGATGCGGAATCATTCCGTCGTCGAAAATGATACAATGATTTAGAGCCGAAAGAACCAGCCCTATTTCGAAACTGCGATAAATGCGACTCTTGCGCGTTTGGCAGTGTATTATAGTCTGAAAGGCGTTCGCTTGTCAGTGAATCTTCTCTAGCACTTTCAGAAACAGTCCTATTACGTATTTTTGCAGCTTGAAGCATCTCATGTATTTGAGGCTAAAAAATAACACAAATATTATAAAATGAGAAATGAATTCTAAATGCTATTAAAAAATTAATTATGACGCGAGAAATAATAATTTGTTTGCAATAATACTCACTTCTACTACTCTAAAATCTTCGATGTTCTTGAATTTTGATAGGTACTCTTGCAATTGAGGATCTACATGAAGCTGATCAGAGTTTTTATAATATTTCAAAAATGCCCAAAATTTTTCCAATCCATACAGCTGTCCTATTGATTTAAATAATTCAATTTAATATTAGTATGATGATTTAATATTGTAATAATGACTTATATTAATATAATGTACAGCCTGCGACACACATTTTTTCTTATTGGATTGCTTGTGTTTTATTTAGTAAATTACTCTGGATATTCTGTGCACAGAGCCATGTTCAGATTTCCCAAATGCCCAGGTATCATTTCATCTTTGTTTACCGAACATTAAACAAGGATGACATGAAATCTGGAGATGTACCCAGATAAGAATTCGAACACGCGCCTGTATGATGCAATTCTAGTAATTTATTAAAATGTAAGCATAATAGACTTATGCATGTAAGCTTAACGTCAATTGTTTTTTACTTGTTGTGCTATTACTAATCAAAATCCTAGGGCAAAAATATCCTTTTGGCGTTAGTAAAACACTTGATTTGCTGTTGCACAATTTACCGTTTAACTACTATACATTATATAGCTAAACAACCTATTTTGTGCTGTTTATCTATTTTGTGACAACATATAATAAAAATTACATATAAAATTTTATCTTACCGCTTTCATAATCTTGTATCGTTTCCATTTCAAAATCTGTATACAATGTATGTCTGAACTTCTTTTCCAAGCCGTAACTGTAAAATCTGAAAAGGCACTCTAGTCCGTATCGGTATCCTTCGCAGGCATCTTCTTTGGCTATAGTTCTGAATTCCTCGTACATGGTACGATTGAAGTTTTCTCGCAAGAAAAACGACCAGAAACGGAAAAGTGTGTTCATTTCTTGAGATTGTCCGATACCTAATCGTTTTCGTTCTAAAAACATATGAATATAATATGTAAATAAAAATCTTGATTTAATATAAACATACAATTTGTTTAATTAATAGTCAGATAAAAGTATTTCTACACGTTATTCTCAGTCGGGAAAAGAAGACAAATAGAAACTCATCACTTTATAATCTCCATTCACATACATACACACAAATTAATATCTTAAGAAAATATCTATATTGCTGATACCTTTCAAACAACGCGAATGATATTTGTGATATGCTTGTTGAGTAAATCCATTATCCTTCAACAAAGCATGACTCGGATGTTCACAGATACTGGGAACACTTCCATAACTATTAGCAAGATAACCTTCATTAGGACTTGTGCCTGCGCTACTCCTGAAATAGTAAAATAGAGAACAAATTTAAAATATATATGCAAAATAAACTTAAACTTTCATTTTTCCGTTATCATTCAGATTAAAACTATTCTACAAGGTTCTTCAGTCGGGAAAAGAAGACATATAGATAGATAATTCATCATGTTATATTTTACATTTATAAAAGTAGAAATATCGTTAGTAATAGTTAATACAAATTCATTCAATTAATCGCAAAACAAAAATATAAATATGAGATTACAATGCCAGATACTTTTAATTTACGAGCTATGTATACGTCATAGAAAATTAGCAATTATTTCTCCTCGTATAACTTTAATATTTACACTTTTTTAATATTTTTACACGTTAGCAATAAAGTGTTTATCTTGAAATATCGAAGTTTATTTTTCAGTTTAAGCTGCAAATTTATTGCGAATATTACATACCCTGCGGAATACGTTCGAGGATGATGTTCTCGAACGTCCATAACCCAACCAATATGATGTTCCACTGGAGGATTATTGCTGTGACGAGTCTTCCTTTTTCGTGGCGTTCTCGGATCAACAGACGGTCCATCTTTCACAACAGCAAAGAAACGTGGCGCGGTATTTCTTCGTCCTTCTCGTGGACAAAGTTTGTCACTCCAACGATTCCTTTCCTGTCTATTATCTTTCTTATCTGGACTTGTGCTTGGAAGCTGTTCAACGAATACATAGCATATATAATATTTTTCTAGGATAATTTTTTTATTTCGCAAAGTTTGAATTACCTGTGATGAAACCGAAACTTCTAAATCTTCCATAGAAGGAGGTGGTGGTGGTGGAACTTCCGGATTTGCTTTTCTTGGAGCTTTCGGCGCCATTTTTTCGAAATCTTCTTGACTAATCATATTAACCGTTTTGTAACTTCCAATGGACGAAGAAGAACCATGCTGTATGTTAACATAACTTATTAATATCCCTGGATTTATTTTTGTTTATTTGTTTTTCTAAATTTGAGAAATTAAAGTTTTAATCTTACTCTTTGAAAATTTTGTCTCCATAATTGTTCTTCATAATAATGTAATCCGTCATTGATAAATTGTTCTAATTCTTGAGTCATTTTTACTCTTGTAGTCCACTCTCCTGTTCTATCATGGCCCTCATGTTTTGGGATTCTGGATGATGTAGGATTGATTTGAGTAAATATCAATATTTTATTAATATCTCTATCCGATAATTCATTATCATCGTCATCTTCAGACCTGTAATAATTATATCAAGAGATATAAAATATCAACAGTAATCTAAATATTAAAAGATTAAATAATCATCTAATCTCGCTCTTCTCTCTGTGTTATGATAAAAAAACAGTTCAGATTTAGACTTCTTAAGGCCAGTGGTTCCACCTTTTGATAAATTTTACCTGTTGAGTAAGTAGCAAGATTACCCAATCACATTACCAGATTTATCTCACAGGTTTACCAAAGATTTATCAAAAGTGAAACAATGGCCCTTATTCTTATAAACTTTCAAATTGTTAATAAATGCATTATAAATAAACTCAAATAAATTAAATACATTATAAATTTTTGAGTTTATTATAACAAGCAGAATTTTTTTAATGAAAATACTTAAATTCATTCATACTACAATATCCTAAAATATTTCGATATTGACCTGTATGTGAATTGTGAGTCTTTCAAGGAACAGTCAAAATTTCAAACTATAGCATTACAATAGATTAGGGAGGGAATGAAAGAAGCAGGTAGTAGAGTGAGAATATAGAACGATCATAACGGTTGTTAGTTAGTTTGCTGCGATCCTACGAGTAGGTAAGTCGTCCCATGATTCACACCGCATTAGCAAAAAACTAATGTGACGATGTCGAGATCTGGCGAAGAGATTGACACTTTTATGATCAAGAGAAACTTAAAATATTTTATAATAAAGCTTCAGAGAGTAAAACAAACCTTCAAAATATCTTGAGCGATGTACATAGACGATGCACGAAGTATCAGTGAAGACGATTCCTTTGAATCTTTTTTCTCAAAAAATTTTTTCATATTATAAAATTTCTTTGTACGAATATTATTTCATACTTTTGTAAGATAAAATAAATAATTTTCCGACTAAAAATTGAATTTTTTTTCCAAAAATCGTTTTATTTTTGTGCTACAATTTTCACTTTTCAAAATAATTAAGATTTTTAATACAAACATCTGTAAACCTTTTTCGTAAAAAAATCATTTCACAAGAGTGTAAGTCTAGATTTATCTGTCTAAGCAGATTTTTTCTTTCAACGCATTGCAAAATTATGATTTTTTTAACACATAAAAAAACATCTGAGTTAAAAAATATTCAAAATACAAAGTATAGATGTAAAATAAAAAAAATTTTTTTCCGATTTTTAAACTGATTTATTAGGAAAAATATGGCGTTGGCATAAATGAATCACCGTTCATACGACATTAGTGAAAAACTGCGGTTCACACACAGGATTAATTACAGGGTTAATTAAAAGGGTATCCATCCATCCATCTAATGGTACTACAGTCTAAACCATGATCAGGACCTCCTCTAGATTTCTAAACAATAATTTTTCCGGAATTAGGTTGTTAGCCTAATGTCTGACCTCCAACGGGAGATGGGAAAACGAATGCATATATCTAATGTGGAATATATGAAACTACAGTTTAACGCCAAATCCGAACGAGGTATCTTAATCACCAAATAAAGTCGTTTTCGGCTCCTTAAACACGTATATGGCACAGATAGGATTAAACTCGGATCTACAAATCGCAAGTCAATCCCACCGAGCAGTAAGCCATTTGACGTTTCAAAATTGCGCGTATAAACTAACCATTCTGAAAAGGCATTATGTCGACCAGTCGGTGGCGGTGAATCCAGTTCCTCGTCAAATTGAAAATCCAGCTCTTCTCGTATTGCATTTTTCATTTCAGATTTCTCTTTCTCTTCTGTTCTGTCCTTGTGTGAATGTCTCTCTTCTGTTTTCTCTTTATGTAGATGTTTGACTCTTCTTCTCACCTATAATTTATTTCTGTAATACTTTCATTTTCGCAAATTTCTGTAGTTTGATACAATAAAAAATAAAATGAGTTACCTCCTTCCAAGCATTGTCACTTGATGAATCCGATTCTCCGTTGATTCGTTCTGATAAGCTGTCTGAAGTAGAAGCATCTGCTGTGGCCGGTAATTCATTGTCTCCTCTTACATTCGTGAGAGAACTATTATTAAAAGAGAGAAGATACTTTTCTGCAATCTCCATTGTTTCTTTTATCTTTTCAAAGTGAAATTTGTTTGTTGTCTTTGTTTGATTACTGTTATCTTTGTTTGATTGTTGTTTCGTAGCGGTAAATCCATTGATTCTTTCCGTTGTCGGCACAAACTCTGGCACATCAGGATTTAGAATCTCATTTATTGTGGAAGAATTTGTCTCTGGTTCATCAAATCTTACTGATGAAATGGAATGATAAGAGTCAAACACACGAGGAACTGGAGGAACAGGCATTGTAGATAAAGGCTTTGCAATAGGACAAAATGTAGTTTCAGAGGTAGGAATTACTTCGGACTGAGATGGGTTAGATTGTTGCACATGATCTGAAAAGGCGATATTACTAGCTATGTCCAAAAGAGGCCATTTTAACGGATCGAATCTTGTCCTAATCTGAAAAATAAAAATTTATATTATTAGAAAAATTCGCCATTATATGTGTGCGTAAAGAACATACATATATGTAAGATTTGAATAATTATAAATACAATGTAACGAGGGCTACTATCAAACCCCATTCGTCGAACTTAAAATAAGTTCTAATGGTGTCAGCGAATCCTCTTCTATTTGCTGTAGCACAAGTTTTGTATCTAACACATATGTAACATGCTAGATTTTTTAAAAAATATGTGCTGTAATCATCAGATAACATGCGCTATTTTATTAATTTAAAATAAGTTTATAATAATACCTTATATCCATCTTCTAATTCTAACAACTCCAGTCTATCGGATTCCAAGACTGCTTCTATCACCAAATCTATATCCACCGTTAAATTTTGTACACGCTGAAAAGATGCGATCAAAGTGAGAGGTAAATATCCTTGAGCATTCATTTTACGACGTAGGAAAAAATCCTTCACAAGATTTTCTTCAGAAAAGTAATATTCTCTGTGTAAAAAAAATGATATTGTTATCCAAGTTACGATATATATGTATACAAATTATATCGATATAAAAAATACAGAGTAAATTTACATTTGTTTTCGTATATATTCTTTTAACGTAATGGTATCTATGTAATTTGCATTATTAAAATAGCATGTTCCCATATAAGGTATCATATATCCAGAATCCGTATGTTCATATTTATGGGTCTGTAAAAAAGAAGAAAACATGAAGTCTGAAGAAACAGAAATTACAAATATAGATATAAACTTTAAAGATTTTCAGTTCTACTATCACTTATTATTCATCAAAATAAGGTCAGAGAGATTCCCACTTAGGTAACATCATTATTGAACTATTGCAACTCGTGATAATAAATAATTTAAACTGTGTATATCAAAAAGAAATTACTTGTGCACAGTCCGTCGTATAATTTGTATACTCGTGATCGTATCGGTGTCTGAAACCACCACGGCCACGCCCGCCTCGTCCTCTACCTCTGTAATTTCTTCCACCGCGTCCTCGTGAATTATATCCAGTTGATCTATCGTAATCCCTTTCACGCCAGTGCTCACCATCGTTCGCTGTTGATCACAATATAATTAACATTTATATTCGTTTTATTATTGCTACATGCGCACTTTGCAGTTAAGTTTCAATACATACACAAGCATACTCACGCACGCACGATTACTATACATACATAAATAAAATTACCTTCACCATTTCTTTCTCTATGATTTTGAAATCTCGGTGATCGCATAGTCCCACGATTTTGTGCCAAGTCAATCTCAAGCGGGACCCATTTTTGTTTATTCGCTGTACAAATGATAATCAGATTTAAATTAAATGTAGATTAAAAACATTTCTTATTTACATTGCAAGTAAAACAATTCATTTAACAAAGTTATTACAAAAGCTTTATTACTTTATCTATAAGCAATTATTATAATGAATTCCAAGGATAAAGATCAATTTTCTCACCTTTCCTTTTCTTTTCATTATTATCCATATGCTCGTCGCTATCATCTTGATAGTTTATCTGTTCCTTATTCTCCTTGCCTTTACTTTCGACAATGTTGCACATCTTAGAGGTACTTGGTTCACCATTAAGCACACCATTTTGCTTCAAAGGAATTATAGTTGTTTTCCTCTATATTAAAAGATAAAATACCATTTACTGTATACAAAAATAAAAAATAAAAGAGAATTCATAAAAGTAAGTAACTTGAGGAACGCGTACATATAATATGCACAAAAAGATGTGTACAAATAATGAACAGTTCTCAGACATAGAAACTTTTATCTGAGATGACAAATATTTGATATTTTTCTAGCAAAATTTCTACACTCACAAATGCATGAATAAATCATTTGCAAGCTCTAGATCTTGCACAGTTTATTATGTAATAATGACATAAGAAATATTACTTGCGGCAGTTAGAATAGATAAAACCATTATTAATAATTATTATTTAATAATAATTATATAACAGTTTCATTCTAAAATAATAACTTAGATAACTTGCTAAAGGTATGATAGTAATTTCACAGAAATTCAATAATACCCACCTCTATTTGTGTTCCTAAAGTAGGCCAATCTCCAATGTTTGTAAAATCACTTGCCTGTTGTAATGCACAAGAAAAATATATATGTTACAGAAAATGTTTTAAAGTATTTATAATGTTAGAAAGAAGAATGTTTAAATATTTTAAACATTTGTATTTTTTTAAATGAATCATATATAATTATACATAATTATATATAACTCATAAAAATAAATCCTTTTAAATAATTTATATTTGTAATTCATCCCCTAATGTATAATTAAAAATTACGCCGTATATATTTTGTAAAATAAAACAATATACAATATATAAATATATATTTCACCATTATATTTAGTAAACCAAATTTAAAGTAAACCCATAAAAAATAGTAAACCCATTTAATTTAAATAAAAATTTGATTCGTTACATCTATTAAAGTATTGGAAGTTTATTTTCATCATTCCGTTCAGAAAGTTATGTATCAATTGCATTTAATTATATATGTTATATATTATAAAATAGAAATAAAAAATTATCTTTTGTGCTTACAATATAATCGAGTATGCTAAAATCGCATATATATATATAAAAATTGTATATAATACGTTTTACAGAATGAATTAATATCAATAAATTTGCAATAAAATGTATCGCTTGCATCAACATATTGATTAGACATTGGTTATTTTATAAATGTAATACCTGCAAAAAAAGATATTATTTTTATAAAATAATCTCTCTAACATATACTGACCAATATGTTAATGCAACACGCGGTATATTTGTCACAGCTAAAGAATTTTCATTCTAACATAAAAAAATATGAAAGATACATGGAGATATTCTTGTGCAAATTGGGCTACTGTAGTCAAGAATTTTGTATGAACCTGTGTTGCAGGATTTAATATATTCAGGACAGTCTGTTAAATATTTTTTTCTCAAAAGCCGTCTCTGAATAATTATATCTTTATCGATTTCTTCGTAACTTGTATTCCAAACCGCGTGACCTCGATTATCTTTCACATACACGCGCGTGTTTCACGAATATTTTTATCTGTAACATTCGACGTCAGGTCGAAGGTGGAAGATGGAGTAGATGCTGAACAAAAAATTTTCATACAAATTTATCTTTTTTAGTCACTTTAACTGTTTATTAAATATATTAATTATTCTTCTTTTTTGACAAAATTCTTTGTAGCTCTTACGATTATTATCGCTATAAATGAAATATCTTTAATTGTGTAAGAAATATTAATTGAGAGATAAGTCTTGGAAGCCATATGGCATTTAATTGAGAGGGCAAGATTAGAGCAAGAATTGGTACACTATAGTTGAGAAATCAAAGCGTTATAATACTATAAAAACACTACTGAGAGTAATGAATATTAATGTTACGCAACACAACATAATTGAATATAGTAAAATTGTAATTAAATAATGTTTCATCTAGCATTTTCTTATCGTATAATTTCTATCTTATCGTAATTATTCATTATCTCAAAAAATTGTATCAGTAAAACAGTTTTCGAACTTTTTATATTTATGAGTTCTCATATAATTATGTGTATCATTAACTGTAAGTTTTCATTGTTAATTCTGCGTCATTTAGAAGATTTGAAATGAGTTGTGATAAAAAACATCAACAACTCCGCCATATTTAGCCAAATTAGTTCTATTTTTTACACTTAATTTTCATAGTTATTTTACGTTGTTTTTTTACTTATAGTTGATCTTTACATGTAATATTTACACTTAATTGCTTCCATGCCAAGGAATGTCGAAGCCAGATAATTATGGCAATTTGCCCTCAATGTAGGCGTTCAAAATAATAAACAAGACTTAAATATGATTCGAACATTCTCTTCTAATAGGACAAGTGTAAGATAAAATCTTTTTTTAATGAAACAAATTATTCAAGAGGCTAGTTATATTTAATTCAATAATTAACATCGATATATTCTATTTAATTTATGACTTTTTTATGACAAATCTATTATTTCCAGCTTTTTTTTTAGTGTTTTTCTTTTATTTTATTGCATTTTAATCTAAAACGTCATCTTCACTGAAAATAAAAAAAATACGAATAAAATAAACTTCCGCTTTTTAAAGATTAAACGAAGATTATAAATATTTACAATCTATATCAAAGGCGTGATTCATGATTTTAATGTCTCCGCTCGAAGTTACGTTAACTAACGTTAGGCCAGGATGTGGTCATACGTGTCACGAGGTGTAATAACTTCACGTAATCCTACTACGATTCAGCATGTTGCGATTCAACATATTACCGAATTATTAAAAAGTTACCGGAAGTTATAGAACAATACATACCGTTCGTATTTATAATTCTTGATCAGTGATAAAAGCTAAAATATACTCTTGTAAAGTACAAGTACAAAATTTAATGATTTAGTTAGGTACATAAACGAGTTGATAACACAACCGAGATAAGAATGTCATTAATATTCGACAAGAGTTTATGTACGTAGCAAGGTTTGTGAAAAAATAACTCGAACAAATAAGAGTCCATACATATATTATTCATTTTCTAAACAAACTGTTTATCTTAAAGGAGAGAATTACTTAAAAAAGTCAGTTTTTTTTGCAACTTAGATTGCTTGCAACTTTTAATCATAATTTAAAACCCGTACAACCTTCCATTCATTTCTGAAGAGATTGAGAAATATTATAAAAATTCTAGACACTATAACGTTTGCATCACAAATTATAATATGCATATGAAGAAGATAGCAGTGATGGTGTCGACTCACTTTCGAAAGCACCGTCTTCACTTTCATCTATCTTCATCGCGTCACGTGTACGCGACCTTTCGAATTTAACAATCCAACCCGTTCCGTTCCGTTGCCGCCCAAGTTGCGGTCTAATTAAATTGCGGTCTTAATTGCATCAGCAATAAGAATATTGATATATCGCGCGAACGAAACTCCATATGCATTTTGATATGACAAACGATGCGTCTTAGCCGCACAGATTATTACGAACGTCCACGCCTGGATGTCTATTAAGGCGAGTCTCGCTTCTCTCAATAAATAATTAAACGGGCAAATGGGTTAAAACGATTAGATTCCTCACGATTGATTCCTCGACGAAGTCAAAGGCCGCAAGGCTTCGCGAATCGGAACGAACGATGTTCTAGCCCATAGACTCAATACACTTAATGAAATATCTTGTAATCAATGCGATTGCACGACGGAGCGCGAAGTATCGATGCTGAAGTCGCGATTCGAACGTCGAAGAGCCACTGAGAGCTGGCTGGCCTCAAGAAGAGAGAGAGAGAATCACGGTGAGACGATAGAGAACTACTCGCGACGTCTGGGAATACTCTCGACTGCTACTTTCAGCCTTAGTAGACTCCTTACGGAGTAGGTTTCATCTCCGAGTACGCAAAAAAAAATGTCTTTGATATAGAGATTTAAGAAAAAGATAATCTCCTATTTCTCTCTCTTCTTCGTTATTCTGAAACGTGTATTAAGAAGCTATGCGTTTCGCGAATTATCTCTGTGTCAAGTGTATTAGAATGTCAATATTTCATAAACATTGCAGGTCATTTTATCAAGGCGAGGAGCTGCCTGACAGCATACCTTGATAAAGTGAACTGCAATGTTCATACACGAAACGTTAGTATTCTAATAATGTATTCTATTGAATGGAAACCTCAAAAGCTACTTAGCTATATATATTTTTTCAATTTCTACCAACGAGGTCATATTAAATCTCGGAATTTTTATTTGACGGAGGCCTTGACGAGTTAAAGTAGAGGCACTGTTTTAAAGCAATTCGAAATGCCTTGTGTGCGCAGCGGCGCACTCGATCGAAAGATATTTGTCGGTCTATCGCGCTGGACAAGTCCGTCCCCCGAAACAGGTTTTCCATTCTCGCGACTCTCACTTTCTGCGACACATATTTTAATGTGGATCGAATGTGTCGATCTGTTGCGACAAGACCAAGGCCCAACATTTACGCGGTGCACTCAAAGCTAAACGCGTCCGATTCTCTTTCCATTAAGATTTCGTGCATTTTTTCTCATCACGCGCACGAGATCGGAAGCCGATGCTAACTGCGGATCAATGAGCGGATTCAAGACTGAACAGAAATAAAAATCGAAAGTACATTAATTCTAAAAATGTACTTGAATTGCAGATTATTTTGCGTCCTATTTTCCGCGGAATTCGATCGAGCGTGTCGTTGGCAGAAATTACTTATACTGTGTGTTTCCTCTCTCTTTTCTCTCCTTCACATACATACCAAGAAAATAAAATGCCTGATTATAGAATGTAGCCGAAAGAATGACAAATAAATATTCAATAAGAGGAAGAGAGAGTTATAATTTAACAAAAAGTAAACTGTATTTAAATTCTTCTTACATTATTTAACAAGATGTTTTTTTTAAAAGTGAGAATGTCAAGGACATGGACTATTATAAGATTTTCCACAATAAGCCGAGTCTCATTATTCATATCAAGTAATAAGTTAAAATATAAATCATATGTCCTAGAAAATTTACACCCAGAATAAATTATATTAGATTGTTACGTCACAATGTTTCAGCCAATCAAAAGGGTGATAGTTATCAAGACAAATAACAATACATGATTGGTCAGTTATAAAGTAATCTAAGTTATAAATCATAATAAATGGAATTTCTATGTCATTTCCATGCAGTCATTGATTACTGATTTATTGTTGCCTCATGACACACTATTGACTACTCGCTTACAACTTGCTCCTGACTTCTGATCTATTACTAACGGCTTGTTGTAGAAAGCCCATTAGGTAAGAAACATTATATGAACGCTCTCATGATTGCATCCTGTAGAAATGATTCGCGACGTCCATCGAAGCGCAAAACGAGTGTCAATGTCATTGCCCTCGTGGCACTCTCCCGAGTTCTCGTCCCGTATGATCGGAACAAGTAGATCAATTACGGTCCTGCAGATTCGGCGAGTTTCACGCCGCGCGCCGGAAATGCATGCGCCTACACGAGCGTCTCGAATCGAAAATGCCACGGTATTATATTTTCGGTAGCGATGCTGAGAGAGCAGCTTCGCTGAAACGAGACGCCCTGTCGCGCATTCACGAGGCGTTTAAATCATCCGGGACTTCTTCTGCGAAACTGTAAAAATGAGAAGTACGAAATGAAAGACATCCGTTACCTCATTCGTTATACATACGCAATAAATTGCAAATTAAGAAAATTATAAAATTTTGTGGAGGAAGAATTTTGTTTGAAAATATCAAAAAACTTCCTGTAAATTTTTTTCTCATAGTAAAAAATACTTTTTTAAGTATTGTTTTCTCACTGTGTCGCAGGAAAAAATGTTTTTATTTAATCTTTTTTGCAATAATTAGAATGAAAAAATGTATTAAATCAAGAATGAACTTATCCTTGAGATATATATATATACATATATTTCCTTCATAAAAAATATGTACATATACATGCATTATAAAGGATAAAATTTTCTTCAAGGCAGTGATTTTCAACATGCGGCCCGTCTGAATTTTTTGCTGGCTCGCATAGTCATAAAAATATATTTTTTATTTAATCCAAACAAAATAAACATTATGCAATCCATAAGATTTTTCCTATTTCTGAAAGTAATCCTTAAAAAAGATTGAACATTACTGCTTTAGGAGATAAAGGCAGATTTGCTCGGCAAAACAGACTCAAGCAAGATCGAATCTTCCGATATGCAAATAAATTGCTGCTGAAAGCAACTCGTTGGTGTCCCCATGCGACATTTCGATGCCACGTATATATGTCTGAAACATGTTGGCAGAGTGTGAAGATAAGGTTGTCGGTGAAGCGCTCTGAGTTCACACTCTTATTATCACGATTATCGAACATCTAAAGTAAAGACGTACGCTACTAGCTCTCTTTTAATTTGATAGCTGCTTTCAACTTCTACAATCTACGCTAGTAGAAAAATGTATGTAAATCTATGTAAATTTTAATATAACATAATATTTATTTACGAAAAATAAATATTTAGTAAATAAAAAATATAACAATTAAATTAAGTTAACGATTCTTTTACCAAATAAATATATGTTTAAATTTATATAAATATTCTACTATTTAAACAAATATTTTTATAATTTAATACATTTTCCTCAGTATATATTTTATAAAATTATTAAACGTGCAGATTGCAGTGAGATTCGATTATGGCAAAGAAATTCTATTAAATTACCATCAGGCATCAGAAGTTCTTCCGCGACTACATTCTGAAATGTGCAATGTGCATGCATATTTAAATCTAAAATTTTTTCCAGGGTAAAACAAGCAAATATAATAGTCGAATCAATAAAAAGTTATTCGATAATACGCGGAAACATTGGCGATCGTATATTTTACGTCGATTCTTTCCTCAATCGATAGTTTTTGCTTATAGACCGCCGTATCTCCTCGATTTTTCGACATTCGCACACTTGCGCGTTTCTATTTTCATGCCTCCGTTTCGTAATATATATATATCTCATCCAAAACAGACCTCCCGTACAGTTTTGTCACAGAAATGTTCGTCGTTCTAGCGTGTTTTAAAAAATTTTCAAATATTCCAACTGAGAGGCGTGATAAATTTGTGCAATATTGTCCTCAACATCTGGAAATAGCAGCATTTAAATAATACAAGGATGTTTTTAATATCGACAAGTTAGAAATACTTCAATTTTAAGCGATTAAAAATTTGAAGGCTTTCGATAAATTATAATAATCTGATAAAGCAAGTAGATAATCTTTTCCTCTTTATCAAATATATAATTATGGAATTTGTATTATAATAATCAAAATTAATTATCAAGCTATTCATAGGTAAAAAGATAAAATGTCAGAAAGAATGAAGTCTGATGGAATTTACAATTTTAATCCTAAAAAAGAAAAAACAACGAAAAGGAAAGAGAGAGAAAAAAAAGGAGAAAGAAATCCACTCTCTGACATCATGAATAATACAATCTATTTAAGTATAATATTCCGTGAAATCGGATATTTCGACACGATCTCTCGAATTTCAGCGAAGCCCACCGAAGTGCGAGGTGGTACGTGTTAATCAAATGAGATCATACACGAGAGTGCGACAAGTTAATAATTATGTAATCGTTATCGTGCACCCGCGCGCGTACTAATAGCTATCGGAAAGTCCGAAGAAAGGCGATAATAGGCTATTTTGCAATCGGGGCTAAGCACAAGGCCGCGTGTAAAGTTCGTGGAGCTTTATTTATCGACGGCGCAGTTTATCCCTGCCGAAAAACGCTGAAGGTAAGTACGTACTTAATGCATATTTAACGATGCAAAATGTCTTAACGAGCATCTTGCGACAGGTGTCCACCCAAAATTAATCGCTCGGCATTTAACGCCTTCTCATCACGAAACTGAGGAAAACTATTCATAAATCTAGATGAATTTCTTGAAAGCTCGGAGTATTTATTCCCTCCGTACGTCAAACACTTTCTTGTAAAAAATAATAATCAGTAAAATAATAATTAATATAATTGAAGAGTTCGCTGCAATTAGCATATTAAAAAAATGAAGCACATTAAAAAAAATGGAATGAATGAATTCTAAATAAGATATCATTTACTTCAGCTTTTCAAAATGTGGGTTAATCCACTATCCCAGCAAGCTCTTTAACTGTACATCCATAAATAAAAGACTAATGTATTAATTTTTTTCAATCATACATACAGAAAAATGTTATTTAAATTCTCTAAATTCCTTCGAATCTCTTCTAAAATCTCACTCCAAAATTTAGAAACGAAAATTGAGCCAGTTTTTTGAAAAGAATGGTTCAATATTCAATCTTTTCTAAAACTCAGAACTCTTTACTCTAAAAATTTTTCAGAGCTCACATACTTAACAATATATAAAACTGTTTCTGTAACACACATAAAAATAAGAGATTAGTCAAATAACTCTGTCAACAAAATATGTTAAAAAAACGTCAAGTGTGCTTTGAAGAATTATGTAACTCACCTGTGGCATCCTGTTGCTGTTGCTGCTGCGGTTGCAGCACTCTCCTTTCCCTCTCGCTCTGTTTGTCGACGCATGTAGACGTTGCGACGACATTGGGTGGTTGATGTGATTGCTGTTGTGTTGTGGCTGTGGCTGCTGCTGCTGCTGCTGCTGCTGCTGCTGCTGCTGCTGCTGCTGCTGTTGTAAGGGAAGAGTCTTTGCGGTTTGCGACGCCGATGTTCGGTTTCTCGTCCAGGGGTTCACCGCGGGCAAAGGCGCTTCGACGTATTTGACCGGCGGCGGCGGTAGGGATGCCAATTGCGCTTCCGGCTCAGTGCTCTGCTCATCCTTGTAATGATGGGCCTCCTTCGAGCCATGATCGAGGACGCCATTGCGGTCGGTGCGCTCTCTGTGCGATCTCTCGTCGCTGCCGCGTCTACCGGCGCCTCCACCCCCGACGCCATTGGGACCACGTGGTGGCTGATGGCGGTTGTTGTTATCGCGCAACCGGTGACGCTCCCGATGATTCTCGCGATACTGTTCGCGTAATTTTTCTTTACGCCGGGCACCCTTCGTGGCGACTGTCTGGAATTCACCGTCGTTGCCAACACTGCCGTTGTTGAGCCGTTCGGCGTCATTTTGGCCGTCGTTCTCATGTGACGCGCCAGGCGCCGGCGACGCCAATGACGTGTGAACGACGTCGACGTGCGCGACCGGCATGCTCGACGAGTTCTCGTGATGATCGCGTCTCTCCGGACAACTGTTCGGAACAGTCTGAGGGCACCGAGTGATTCTCTGATAGGATTTACCACCCTTCACACTTGGCACTATCTTCTCCTTCGCATTTGTTGTCGTTTGATGTTGCTGCTGTTGCAATAAGTGTTGCTGTTGCTGCTGCGGCACTGCCACCTGATCGTCAATGTTCTCCTTGTTGTTGCTCTTGAAGGAGTTGGCACGATTTTGAGAGGCACCTTTCGGATTCAGCACACTGGCGTAGGACTGACAGGGCCCCGCCTCCTGTCGCTCGCCGCCGCTCCGAGCGCCACCTTGGCTGGCTAGTTTCGCCGCCATCTTGCGGCGCACGCCGTCGGGGAACAAAAACACGAGGTTCGCGGACCGTGCACGAGGTCGATGCGTACCGCCACCAAATTCACCCTCGTCGCTGCCGTCGGGACGTCACTCCCCCGCGGAAGCTTTCTCAAATCGTCCTCGAGGGGGGGGAGAGAAGGGAAGGGAGGGAGGAGGGTTTACGATCAGGGCCGTCGATGACGGTCGATGATTTTACAAGATGGGCAAACTAACCTATTGCGCGTCCTCTAATTTCACATACCCAACTCCATGCTAAGGGAAAATTCCGTCTCTCGCGTGGCGTTCGCGCGATAGTTCACCCCGAAGGAGGACGCGACGACGGAGGCACGAAGTGGTCCACTTCCGTCAGCTTCCGTAGTTCGGCACGTCACCAGACGTCACAGGACGTCACAGGCGGAGGGGGGGAATTTTCCGTAAGACGCGCGCGCGTGGCGTGCGAGCACGCGGTCGCGCGGAACAAAGCAGATGTATCACCCACGTTCGCCGCGTGTACGTCGTCCGGTCGCGCAATGATCACGCGAGGTCGCCGGCGTTCGTTAACACGCGCGCGGAGGCGCGCCGCGACCTCGTGTTATTCCCCGGCGGGGGTTAGGAACGAACGCGCTGACTCGGCGCTTTCGGCGATCCACCACCGGCGCGCGGTTCACGCACCTCCGCTCGGAGCAACGTGAACGGCGCCGCGGATCACGAGACTGGTCTCAAGTCCGCGGATGATCGTCGAATGGCACTTGGGACGTGTACCATACGTGCCAACACACCAGCGAACGGTGAACACGCGCGCAACCCCCCCGGCTCGGTTTCGTCACGCAGTATCTATCCGGTATTCTCTCGTCCGAGGGAGAACTTCGCTCGCGTTAAACTCGCGATAGCACTGATCGACAAGATCGCGGAATAATTCCCACAACGCACCCGCGTGCCTACCAGTACCGGCGTGGCATCGCGTTACCGCGGATTACGTAAACGCGGCGCATTTTCTGCGGAACTCTTTTCACGGGAACGCGTGATACATGTGGCCAAGGCTAGTGAGGCCTCTGAGAGCACGAGTCGCGGGTCGACCGGCTTCCGGTCTAATCGATCACGGAGACGAGAGGTGGCGCGCGTTCCTTCCGCGACGGCCATCTGCCGCACACTTTTTCAAATTCAAACGTGTCTATACTCTATTAATGCCCATTTCCATCAACGTAGATTAACTTTAATCTCGGTTCAACTTACTCTTCGTCTTTTTCTAATTCTAAAGATTAGAAGAGTAAGTTGAACCGAGATTAAAGTTAATCTACGTTGATGGAAACGGACATAAAACTGTAAAGGTGCTTTCTCATCCTGACGCTCATTTTTAACGTCAAAATAGGTCATGTGATCAAAATTGTCACTTGATATTTGTTAATTTTTTTCACGTGATCTGTTTTGATGCTAAAAATGAGCATCGAGCGTCAACATGTGAAAAAATATTTTAACAAGATCTGACTAATTGTAAGAGTAGTTTTGTCAAAACTAGATTGAGAAAGAAGGATATACATTAGACTGTTCTCTTTTCAGAAATGAACTTCTTGCACAGTTTATTTTTTTTTTCTCTCCAAAAAAAAAAAACGAACCACGCAAAAAGTTTAATTAAAAAACAGACCTATTATCTCTTTTTATTTAAGCTCTCGTTCTAACTTATATTGTTTTACTTATTTTAACTTACTGAAGTTGACAAAAACATCGGGTCAAAAGTTTATCATCTGTTGACCAAATTCCATTATAGTGTCTAATAATATGCAGAAAATCGCTAACCAATCGAGCTCTTCGCATTTCCGGAAAAGCAGAAATTCACTACCTATGATTTCGTAAACTTCATTAAACAAGAAAACTGGGCAAGAATTCGAAAATCTTATAAATTATTTGTATGATTATTTGTATGTTGAATTAGACGAAAGAGAAAAAGTTTTCATTCGGATTACTTCATACACTTTAAGATTATTATCTCTCTCACACACACATAAAATATACACATGTGATTTATTGTTGCATATAATTACATTACATATACAAAATATATCAAGTATATCGCATTTTTTCATGAACATTCGTCACTATATAATTATACAACTATATAATATATAATACTATTCGAGTATCAGTGATTCACAAACAGTAATAAAAATACAGTTGAAAATATGTCTAAATTTTATGTATATTGTATTTATATAATGTATAGACTATCCAATTTTAATTCGAGCAGGCAAAAATTATTCGATTTTGAAAGCATTTATCGTAAAATACTAATTTCAATTTGATTTTATCTGACATCTTCAAGATTATGCAAATCACTTTTCTTAAAACAAAACCACATAAATTTTTATAATTAATGAAGTAATTTTCCATGATATTCTACACATAAGAGTATCAAAAACTGTTTATAAAATATTTGTGTATACAACATTTTTAATTTTGATATATTGCTTTTATATAATATTTATTTTTATACACAGATCATATATTGCTATATGTCTACAAAACATAAAGGAAATAACATTACAAAAATTTATATTGTATCATTTAAACAAATAAAAGTATATAATCTTGAAGATACATCAGCCAAGCTCAAATTAAAGTCACTATCTATTGTCTTCCTGTAATTTTTGTTTTAGATATTTTTTCTCTTTTTCATTATTTTACAAATTGATTTTTTTAGTTAAAATAAATATATATTATATATATATATATATATATGTGTGTGTGTATGTGTGTGTCAAAATCTTCCTATCTATTGTGTTATTGTTTTATTATTGTAGGAACATTTTATTGGCAACTAGCTCATTCTGTGTAACAATACATTAAATACTAAATTGACTGAACAATTGTACTCTTTTGTACAAGATAATTATCATGATTTAAAAATAGATCACACGTGCGCATACAGAGATCCTCAAGCGTAAAAAAGTTCTAGTTAATCACAAACTCGGAAAATATTTCGTTATCTAATAAAATTTAAGAGAGTCTCGAAATAATGTAAAATTGTAATAAAATTCGCAAATATTACACATCAACTAACCTCTGTAGGATATTTTTTCATAGATCGCTGAATGCATTCCGCTATTGTAGATCTGAAATGAAACACATTTGCTAATGAAAATTTTCTACATTAGGTAAAAAAAGATAAAGACACAAAAAATTATAATAGATTTTGAAATACCTAAAAACTTTCTGATGAAGAAGATAAGCACTGACATGTCCAGCATCGATATAACGAATTTCAGCTCCCGGCCATATAGTTTCCAAACTCATGCAATGATCTCGTGGTACATAAGCGTCGTTCTTGGCGCAGACAGCAATGATTAATTCAGTGTCAACAGGTATCTCAAAATTCTTCAAATGTGTGCACTCGTCCATAATGCCGCGCATAAATTGCAATGCCTCGTGTTCACGCCATTTATTGTCTGAAAACAGCGGATGTTTCGGCACTGGCAATAAGCAAACGCCTGTCATAGAAAAAACAACGGTCATATAAAACCATGTTTATGTTATCTAGGATTGCCAAACGCAAGGTTAACAGATAACAAATATATCTGAACTACATATTTAAACTGTTTTAATTTTATCATAAGAAAATGAGAACTGAGATATATACAGGATGTTACATTTTAAACGATCACATTCCAAAATTCTATGTTTACAATTTTAAAGAAAAATGTTTCAGATAAAGCCCGATCTACATAAGACGCAAAACGTGGGTCGCAAGTCGCAAAACTAGAAACTAATCCAACTTATTTTAATTGTAATAGGTTATAGGATGAACGTTGGCAAAACGCAGAAAGTTGAGTGAACTTCATCTTATACATCGGGCTTAAAAGTTGTATGATTTGGAAGGAAACATAAGATGGTGTCATTGGATCGATCTTATAAAGTTGTTTGAAGGTTTGTTACATGAAAAAGTCACTATCAATTTCTTAAATGAAACCCAATATATTTCATTACATATTCTTGTAGCTTACTTTTCACTATAATGAAGTCTTTTTCTGATCAATACTTTTCGAGTCATAAAGCTTGATGGAAATTAGTGTGGCCAACATTAGCATTACTCAAATCAAGCACTCTGAGAGGAGCTCATAAATTAAGTTCATGCGCTTACATTTACGTACATTCAGAAAAGCAAATGGAGGTTTGAATTAAGCCACAAAATCTTTATAATCTGAAATACTTTGAATAATGGTAATGCTATCTTAATGTTAAAAACTCAATCAATCAAGAAGTTCTTAACAAAAAGGCTTCATTATATCATTTTGGAAGTGTTCAAATCAACTACAAAGACTACTATCAAAAATTGGGCATTCCATTTAAGAAATTGATAATGACCTTCATGTAACCTTCAAACAATTTTGCGAAGTCAAACCAATAATAGCATCTTATGTACCCTTCCAAACCATATACAACAATTGAATCTGAAGCATTTTTCTCTAAAATTGCAAACAAAGCAAATTTTTGGAGGATGATCGTTTAAAATGTGACACCCTACATTGTGTGTGTGTGTGTGTGTGTGTGTGTATTTTATTTATAAACTACATAGCAAATTGATGAATTATACACAGATATGCAAGTTAATTTATATGAAGTACCTTTGAGAGTATTAGGATTCTTTGATTTAAATCTATTAGAAATCAGATTTAAGGGAAATATCTTAGCTGCTGCCTTCTCTTCTGCAATCTGATATTGCAACTGATTGCTATCGTTTTTAGATTCAATGGAGACATTAATTTCATTACGATTATCAATAGAATTGGTACTAATTGCATCACTTATAGTGTTATTGTCTTCATTGCTTTCATTAAACTCTTTTCTCAACTTATTTACTCTCTTCATGCTTGCAGGAAAGTGCTTTGCAAAATGTTGGCCAGCTAAGAAAGCATCCTAAAAACATTAAATATTCAACAAAAGCAAAAAGAAACTTTGAGAAAATTATTAACAAAATTACAAAAATGATATATTTACATCATGATCGATAACTTTCACCATTTTTGCGAGATCATTTTGATATGCTTCATCCGAAAAATATTGCGTCTCCAAAAGTGCCCAATTTATCGATGCACTCATTACTCCTTCCGTAAACACAGGCGAAGCAGTTGACCACGACAGACAAGGTACTAATGAAATTGGCTTCGGCCAGTTGGTAGCTGCTAAAGATGCCATCTAAAAAAAAACCACGATATTTAAATGCATATAATATACCAACTGAATTTTATTTCAGAATAAAAACCAACATGTCCACCCATCGACAATCCAGTGAGAGCCAATGGACCAAATCCATGTTGTTCACACCAGTTTAACAAAACAATAGATTCCATTATCAGGCAGCCTCCCATAATAAAGATATCACATACATTGTGCAGACTAGAACGTCTAAAAAGTGGAAGTGAAAAAGAATGGAGTAAGGAAAAATAAATCTGCAAAGGTGTGTAACTTTGTACCTTACAAACTTTAATTAAGAGTTCTTACTTTTGATCGTCTGGCTTTCTCAATCCGTAAAATGGATTTTCCAACAGTATCGATGCAATCCCAGATTCCTTGAGTAGTGGTTTAGCAATAAGATTTCTACGTCGCCAAAAAAACTAGTTAATAAGTAAAATATATAAATATCTCTGTAAAAATAAAGGTATACCATATTGTATACTTTGAAAGATCATAATACAATAAGCAGTAATGCTACATACATGATCGCCCGTTCCTGCAAGATGTAAACAAATCGGTTTTATTTTATGAGAATTCCATTTAGATGGTAAAACCATTTGAAAATAGGCCATCTTAGTTTTATCTGGCATTATTCCTGGAAGATGCTTCTCAAAAGGTGATTCAAATCGACCCTCAATTATATGACAGTCTGACCAAACTTCATCCTATAGAAAAACACATACATTATCATTTTTTATAATAGTGGAATCTATATTATCAGAAAGAATATAATATAAAATACTTTTGTTATCTCTATCGGATAGTTAATTGGTATCATATTGTAGCATGTTTTCCGGTTTGCGATAACTTTCCTGAATTCAAAAATTCTGAAACAGAATTATTTAGATATTTAGATACTGTTTTAATAATTTATTGTTAAAGATTTAGATGCTTACAAATATTACGCACTATGAACATTATAAATATCAGATATAGAATTGACAGAGAGAAATATTATTAAATATTATCGCATTATATTCTAAGAATTAGAACAAAAAAAGATAAAAAGTTAGTTGAATCAAGATTAAAATTAATCTATATTGATAAAAACAAACAATAGTATCACAAGTCAACTTAAACACCTATCTTTCTTGACATTCAATAAATTATGGAGAACAATATTTGTGTCACTTGGGTCAAACAGAAAGCATTCCTTAATTATATCTAACACCTATCTTTCTTGACATTCAATAAATTATAAAGAACAATATTTATGTCACCTGGGTCAAATAGAAAACATAATTATATCTGTTACATCTGTAAATCTGTTCATCTTTCAAATAAAATATCTTATCATTAACAGTGCTGAGTCACATAGCACTCCACTATCTATTATTATTCGATACGAGGAATGCTTTAAATAGATTAATTTATATGAAGATAACAATGGAAATTTACCAATCAATCTAAGGCATGAAGTATTCAACAAGTAACGTTGGCTATTAGGTTAAATCAGGTTAGCCACTTACCTTCACTTACCTTCTTAAATTTTGTGGATTGCCCCAGCCCTTCGTGAAGAACTTGGTGAGTAGGATGCTCCGGTAAACTGCGTCCAAACGACTCGGCGGCATCGCGATAAAACGAATATCGACCTCGCCGTTTACTTGTACCGTGTCGTTGTCGTCGAGCGAGTATCAAGCATCTCACACGAAAAGTCGAATGGTCCCGCGTTAACGTATCATCCCCCTCATAATCTCCAGCACGCGCTCGAATCGTTTCGCGGCGACGGAAAAAAACTAAACCTTTCACGACACGACGTGTTATTGACGTGTATACATCTCGCAATATTTATGTGCGTGTAGATTTTGCGCGCGGAGAAACCAATCGAAGAGCGAGCGGTCGATCAGACGATAAACGCAATCGAGGGACATTCCATGATGCGCCCTCGCGCGTAAGTACGAATTTGGTTTCTCGTTATGAAAAATGACTTTGATCGAGCTGTGATTAACTTAATGAATAATTAATTTGATTGGTAAAATCTTATACTTACAACTGCAACAGCACAAAACTTGCAGTAATATTTCTGCAACTTTTATGCTGCGGCGGTCGACCTCGTAAATCGAGTTATTAAATGTTAAAGTTCGAAACTTTAGAGGTTAAGATATCTGTTATCCCGATTCAATATAGCGCTATGTATGTTTTGCATTAATTACTCAAATTCACTGATTTAAAAACACATTTGCTGCTTTAATTACACAAATTTACTGCTTTAAGCATACAAAGTTTTTGCATTAGCAGTGAATTAGTGTTTTTAAAGCAGTGAATTTGTATTTTGAAGCAGAGAATTTGTTTAATAACTCGATTCACGAGGCCACGTTTTTTTGTTTTGAGATTTTTTTCGTTTTGAGTGAAAATACGTCGAATAAGTGTATTTTTATTAAGATTTGTGGTGAGAGGGGGGGGAGGGATATTCTAAATAATTATCTTAATTCCAATAATTTCCTAATCTAATTTTTGTCCTGTATGTTAAACGATAAAAGATTAATGATTCTATACTAATGAAATAGGTATTATTTGAGTTAACTTATAAGGTACTAATTATCATCTTGTCATATTTAATGAGTATAAATTGATTACTCTAATTTATTAGGACACATATGAAAATAATGCAAAAACATATATTAATAATTTAATACTGATGGATTCCTATATATAATGATGTATAAACTTCTACAATGAATTTATTAATTTCTATGTGTAATTTATTAATAATAGATTCCTATGTATAATGTATATATATATGAATTTCTATAAAATGAATTTATTAATTCTTTTGAATTTATTAAGTCTTTTGAGTTGCATGATATCGGATGATACACAGAAGCATTTAAAGGAGAATGTTATAAATACCTAAGTATGATTTTTTACCATCCTGGTTGCATTCCAAAACGACTGTCAACTCCGAGTATCTTTTATTCTTGCTGAACATTCGGTGAATAATTAAGAATAAGATCCCAGCAAATGAGAGGATTAAAATGGATTGAAATTTTTTTCTATCCGAATGTGTATTTTATATATATAAATAGCGAATACTTTCTTTGGATTTAATTGGATTCAATTAGATTCAATTGGATGCAATTGGATTGAAAAACTGCATTTCCTACTCAAAATTTTGAATTGAACAGTATTCACAATTGTGTATTTTTGCACAGAAAAAGCTAATATTATTTTTAAATTGAAAGACATAGAAATATGCTCCATGCAATTCCTATAAATGAATAAAAATGCATTTAGGATTGAAAAGCATTCATTTTAACATTCGTGAATCAATATTTCTGAAAATCTGAATCCATTTTAATTCATTTCAATCCATTCTCGTTTGCTGGGATGATACTCAGACTGACGATATTTAATTCCTCAATATGCTCTCTAAAATTTTTGTGAATTTTATTCTGAAGAAATCTCACTCTTAAAGATTGAAAATGTAATCACTCTTTTTCATGACTAGTTTAATTTTCACTTTTTAATATGAGATTCCACTCTAACTTTCATTATTTTATTTATATGGCTCATACATATAGAAATAAATTAAGAATTAAAAAGGAAATGACGTCGAAATGGCTAAAATATAAAATGGAAATTTTATTTTTTTTTAACATATCAAAAAGGAATATTTCAATGTAACATCTTTAAAGATGACAATAAACCTCAAGATCTTCATCGGTTGCATCGTGCAGATCAAACTCTTGCGGATAAAACAAAACAAAGTCTACGAAGCAGTATTGAAACACTGCCCTGTCACATTGTATATATTTCTATTCAAATGGCAGATCGATAAATGATTTATAAGAACATCGATCTTCTCGAATGGATACGCCTCAGCGAAATCTTTTAGAAGCAATTCACGATCTGGACACTATGGATTTGCGAATTTGCGCGCTTTGTCGATTTCATGTTTATTACTGAGATAGTTTAGTTCTCATTGTTATATGCATTTTACGTACAACTTGCATGTCTTTGAAAGCAGGCGTTCCTTTGATTCAGAGTTCTCCGTTAAACCAATTTACCACCCGATACATGGTCGGCAAATATCTTCGAAATTGATGAGAATTAAATAATGACATATGAAATTTATATGATAGATATCGCTTTCATTGGACACATGAGGAGAATTAGTAAGAGTGGGCAACAGTTTGTCAGTTTGTTTGCTTTTTTTATTCAATTATGACATTGAGGAAAAGTGATATGCCACTTATACCTATTGATGCGGACACAGAATTGTTGTATACCTATATATGTATTGTATCATTAATTGCATATCAATCCAATGATATAAATACGGTGCCTTTCTCGTCGTAACACGCAATGTCTGAAAGATGTCTTCATGACTTTATGATGTCTTTACATCGTCTTTTAGACACACATGTTGTCCTGTGTTTACAGTGACACGTAACAATCATTTGATATTTACGCAAATATGCAACAAGTCTGTATCCGCCTTTAGAGTGACATACCTTTTGTATCCTAAGTATGGCGTATGAGTGTGATCACTCACGATTGAATTTAGATTATTTTCAAATGTAATCAGAGGTAAGAGCGACAATATTAAATTCATAGCAATTCCGGCCAAATTATCCTGCACGAATTTTTGTCCTCTGCGATATTTATATACAATCATTCGAGTTTCTCCCGACCGGTGATCAACCGCAATCTTCTTGGCAAAAGGAAGCCGGAATGAAATCCAATAAGGACTCTGATACGTTCGAGTAAAATTTAGAAAGATTCTTATTTATCCAACTATATCTTTGGCTCACTGTCCATTCGTCGCAGTCGTTCGGGAATAAGCTCTGGTCGAATGTATTATATCCGCAGCAGTTTCACATATTCATATTCATCTGAATTTTCATTTGCTCGTATTTCCATGTGCTATTAAAGTACACTCTCAATTTTCAATATTTTTTTTAAGTGTATCATTAAAACTCATTATTTTTACGAAATGATTCCTCGATATGTGAGAAATAACTTTATATGAAGAGCTACAGTATACAACTGTTGTAAGAGAATTACTTAGTACTCTGTATTACAAGTATATAATCACGATTTATGAATTTTTTAGTCTATCATATCATTGTTCAACATTTGAGCATCTACAATTAATCCGTAAGGTATATTTTCATCTAGTATTATTTGTCATAACATTTTACGATTTTACTGTCCAGCATTTAATTGTTCAAAATATTTTTTCTTCGTCCGCGATGATATTTATAACAATGTATCGATTTAATCTTTTGCTATGAAAAGAATGATTTTTTTTAAATATCTAACATTTTAGTTCGATATAGATTTGCAAATAATTTTGTTGAATCATCAAAATATAAATTACATAAGAATTTTAAGCATACTGAAAAAGTCACGTTTATATGTGTAACACATATAAACTCACTTGATTTTATTTTGTTCTGTCTTACTTAAGTTATAGAAACTATATTCCAAATAACGCGATATTTAGTTATTGTATTAGTTATTATAAAATATTTAGAAAAATAAAAATAACAAAAATGAATTCAGAAAAATAGTGAAATAAATGGATTTCGCATCTTCTTCTTACTATTAATCTTGATTATTTATATTAAGCAATTAATTTAAATAATTAATTGTAAAATCATTTTTTATTATTTTTAAATTTTTTTATACAAATATATATTTTTTTAAACGTATGTATAGGTGTTTCTTAGTATTTATCTTAAATAGTAAAAATAGACGTAATTTTTATTTTATTTGTGTTAATGGGATTTTTTTATTACAAAAAGTACTTTAGCCTTACATATTTCATAGAAATGTTATAAATGATATTCTGATTTATGTGTAAAAGTTTAATAGCATGAGTAATATAAATTTTTTCGTATTTGTCAATTTACTATGATTATTCCATAACTTAGCCATAACTTAAGCTATCAAACACAATATGATCTAATATCATTTTACATTGATATCTATTATTATATTAATACCTATTAATGCTAATGTTTATTAACTATAATACCTAATAATGTATATAAATAAAACTCCTGTATACAAATATTATCGGCCCTCAGCTAAAGTCTTTTCAGATCTCTTTTTAAGTTCCATATGTTTTTTAGATCCATATTTGACTGCTTTATCGAATTTCTTATGAAGGTTTTTATTCAGAAACTCTCTTACAAATCGTATCTTCATAACACGGGGTATCAAGCTGAAATCATAGAAAGAAATCATTATAAATGTTATTATTGTGAGTGGAAACTTAATTTAGATGAGTAATAAAAACACAATAAAATTTCGCATTACACTTTAATTTTTTATAGTCTATGTCCTACAAACGAGTCTTGATATAATACATTGCGATAGTAGCCTATCATATTATATAATTCTTTAAACATACAAATTTTACATTTTTTTCCATATAAATATAATAAATTATCATACATAATAGAGATTTTTCAAGTAATAAAAATTTTTTTATTAAACCGATTAATTAACTGAAATTGAAATATTTGATCTTTGTTTATTTATGAAAAATAGTCTAGGTCGTTAAGTTTGTTTTGTTAATAATCAACTTCTCGTTTTTTAACTTGACAAGGATTTTTGCGCATTATACTTAATTATTATCTGGCTTGTGTTCTACTCACAATTGACTTAGACTGAGTTTAAACCATTCATAATAAGTGAGCGTACTTCGCGTACGTGGCATATCTATATTCAATAAATTGGTGATAAACAGTAGTGCCATCTTGAATGTGAAAAAATTATCATAATAAGAATTGCCTTCCATCATGCATCTCAGCATATGTTCCCATTCGGGCGTTACTTGCCTCAAAAAGGGTTTCATCCAAACTTCGATAAAGTCGTGTGATCTTTGTTTAATTTCCTCCAGACTTCCGCAACAGAAATTGTATCTAGACATTCATATGTTTCCATCAAATACGAGAATTCCAATGAGACATAGAATTTTTCAAATGAGGAAAATATTCAAGGAATGAAAAACTTTTTGGAAACCACTTTTACTTACTGATCTTCTATGCCAAGAAGATATCCTATACCTCTCCATGTGTGGCAAAAAGCTGCCATATCTTCATCGCTAGCATAAATGCCGAATTTTTGAGGATATAACAAAATTATCCCCATGAAAGCGAATTGTGTGGCTGACATATCTGCTTGATTCAACCCTTTGGGTTTGATCAATAGATGGATACAACCATTTTCTATAGTCGGATGTGGACAGGAAGATAAATCTTCTAAAATTGTTTTTCTATCAGGACACCATGGATTTGGAATTTTAGAAGCCATATCGATTTCCTCAGTATCATGTTCACAGAGTTTCAATCGGATTGCACGGTGCATTCTACGCACAATTTGTATATCGTTATATGCTCGCGTGCCCACGGTCCATGGATCTTCCGTCATCCAATTTCTTATATGACAAGCCGTAGACAAATACCTTCAATGAAAATTGGAAATTTCTTATCAAATATTCGACCAATCTGTAGGGTCGCCCCTTACAATGAAATCAACACTTAGTCAACACTACAACTGTCAAAACTGACAGCAAGGTTCCGTTAACTAGTACTGGGCTATTACTGGCAAATGACTGATTGTCAAATGACAGCCAAAGTTCTGTCAGCCAGTACAGAGCATTGGTCATCTGCATTGGTAAATGACTAGCTAAAATGTCTGGGCCAATACAATCTGTCAATACCGAAATTATTATCCACACTGAAAAAAAAGATTGGCTGCAAATTATATGGTAAACTATGGCATAGCATTTTTAATTGACTGCAATCAATTAAAAATACTATGCCATATTTTATCATCTAATTTGTTGCAATCCTTTTTTTCAGTGCAATATTTAGTCAGTATTAGGCCAGTAGTTTGCCAATATCTAAACTATGACAGTCGTAATACTAGCCCAGTACTGGACCGATCGAAAACTCTATATGGGAATTGTCTAAAAAATGCTGAATGTAGTAATCAAACCTGATTCAATCATTAAAGATTTCTTTCACGATTAATCATGTAATATTGCGTAAATTAAAATTCCATATACACATTTTATTGCTCAAAATTTAATTATATACAATATTAGTAATAACAACATTAGCCACACAGATACACACGCAAACTTTCAGAAAGATGTTGCACAAATTTGTCAAATTCCAATTGACAAATTTGTGCAACATCTTTCATAAAATACATGACTGATTATGAATTGAGCTTCTTTATGTCGACCAAGGTTGAAAAATAATGATGTCGAATATTCAAAAACGTTTTCACATTTAATCCTAATAAGATTAATCAGTATTAATTATCACAAATTCGTATTGTTAATTAATATTGGAATTATATGTAATTAGGTTTAAAAACTAATGAATTAATAATTAATTTACTAGATAATAATTAATTAACTTATTATTTAAATTTTAAAAACAAATATTTTAAATTTTAAATACTTAATTCGACGAAAAGTAAACTTTAAATAATAAAGCTTAAGTCAATAAATTATATCTCTACTAGAAATAATTATTCGAATCGATTGAAATAAGGGACAAGAATCAAGCTGAAAATCGGCTGAAATGTGCAAATAAATCCCAGCTCTAATCAAATCACTGCTATAGTCAAATGATCAATTCAACCGACTATTTCTGATTCGATCTAATGAATTCTCTTAGCAAACAGTTTATCTGTTTCATGTTTTTCTATATTTCAATCTCTAGATTAATCTGTTATAAATTAATCTGATTTTATAACACAAATAATGTATTAATAGCTATACATATTATATTATAACGTATCTTAGTAAGCAAAAAATTAAATCAACATTTTTTAATATTGATTTTATATGAATTTTATCAATGTTTTCATATAATTTAGAAATATCGTTAAAATATTACTTAATAATGTGATGTTTCTGAACATTAAAAAAAACATTTTAATAATACGTAATATAATTTTCAAATATTTTAAAAATACACCAATAATTTTTATCACTTCTCTTGATATAATATTTATATAGTACTATTTATAGACATAAATACGCTATATTTTTTTATTATTTGTATTGTAATGCAAATAAAGCAATAACATCTGATTTAGAATTAAATAAATACTTGCAAAGATATAATTTCTTCCTGTGTTTTTTCTTATTTTTCTCGCCTCAAGGCTCAGTTAGTTGTTATAAATTTCAAAGTTGAATATCATAATGTTTTTTCTCAAGAGTAAGAATTGTTCATTTAAATCACGATTATGAATTTTTCACCTATTCCACCTCTGACTATAGTTTCATTAATTTCAAGTCTTCAGCAGAAACGCTATAAATACAAGTCCTGATTCGATTTCATAGTCAGTTTTTATTTAAGACTGCCTTAAGTCAATCACAGAGTCGCATTAGCATCTTAAGACATTCTTGAAGATGATCTTAAAGTATAAGAATAGACTATAACTACGAGATTTTACCCAAATCTTCATACCTTTTAAACGATAAATACGGCGTGTGAGATTGTTTGCTAAAAATAAGCGGTTTAAGACCATCTGCAATAGCGAATAATTGAAAAAGCGATAATGCATTAGCGAAAAAAATTGAGCCAAAATGATCTAGCACGAATTTTTGACCTCTCTGGAATTTTTTCATGTCCAGCCAGAGTGGTTTGTCCGTCGAATTTCGACCACAATCTCCTCGATATAATGAGCCTGATAAAAAAAATAATAAGGATTGTGGTATATTTGGGATATATGTTTTTATATTATCTGCAATGTGTTTGTATTGTTCTTCCTCCGTCCATTTATCATAATCCTTTGGTTTCGCAGAATTCTGATCGATTATAGGCTTCATTCTTGTCAGAACATATTTGATGTATTTAACGGTATTTTTTGCCTCTACAAGTTCATAGTATTCGTTTTTGTCTATATTTTTATCGATGCCATTGCTTTCATTTTTTGTACTTGGTTTGATTTCTTTCATGATATCCTGAATATGATTTTGTTTTATACAATCTGATTTGTCATCATTCATCATTTCCATTTGTTTCTGCTCTATCTATCAAGTGCTAGCTGTTATCACTTCCGTTTTCTATTTTTCTATTTTATAATTAATTTTGTTGGTGATGGTATTTGCTTCAGACAAACCTATAATATAAAATAACATTATAATAAAATAACAAAATAAAAAAACGAATAAAATGGTGATTTGTTATTGTTATATACATTTATATATATTTATTTTGTGAGTAAAGGATATGAACATATTTCATAAACGTATTTCAATACTTTAAAACGTAAATGTATATTGTAAATGTGTATAAGGAAGAAATGTTATGTGATTGTATATTTTCTAATGATTTTCTATAAATTATTTTCCAAGCAATGTACTTGTAATTCCTAGGCCCGGTTGTATCAACATTACTTTGATTTTAAGCGAAACTTAAAATCTTTCTATCTCGTTTTAAAACTGAAAAGAGACAGAGGCAAAGAGAGTTTTAAATTTCACTTTAAAATTAAAGTAACGTTGGTGCAACTGGGTGCCTTAACGAACTACATGTAAAATTTAAATAGCCTATTATGACTGATAAGAGATGCAATTCAATATATTGAATACATTGCATTCCCTTTCTAATAAAGCACAATTACTATAACAATAAAATCAGAGAATACGAAGTTTATTACAATCCGGTTCCACAAATTTAAGATTAATTTTAATCTCAGTTTAACTTAAACTATTTATCTTTTTACCTAATTCAATTTTAATCTCAATTCAACTAACTTTTATTCTAGCTCTTATTTTTATAATTAGAAGAAAATAAGATAGTAAGTTAAACCGAGATTAAAGTTAATAATCTTACATTTGTGATACCGGGCCTACGTCTACCGAGAAAAGCAATATTGAAAATAAAAGAATATTCTACAAATTAAAAAAAAATTGTAATTTAATCTTTAAAAATAATTATAATTATAATGACCGCTAATATTTCATTAATTCATTTTCTTTTCTGAGAAAATATCTATAATTTTGAGATACAGTACGTACCTTTAGAGCCTCGTTTCTACATCGTGTACTTTACATTTTCTCACTGTGTCTGTATTTAAATACTTACTTTTTTTATATTCTGTCAAGATTGTCGGAATGGATGTTTTGTTTTGTTTTGGTGGGGGCATCATTTTTATTAATTTTTTTTAAATTTCTGATAAAATGTGTGAGTATATTCTTGTACCTTGACCTTCTTTGTGATTATTTTGAGGAAGATTGACAAAATATTTCGTCTATCGGTTATCATAACACCTCCCTCCAGAGAAGGAAAAAGACATTAAATTTTCCAAAAAATGATTTTTGTTTTTCTAGCAATAGCTATTCTTGTTGGAAGATATTTTTTTAACTTTAAATCTGATTTTATTTAGTATTCTACCTGAAAAACCCTTGTAATCCGATGCATTACTTTCATCCTTCATGTCGGTAATATCAAGTAACGAGAAAATAACTCATATAATAAGTAGTTGATACAATAGGATATAATGGCACATGCAATGGTCGCAGACGAGTTGTTATTTATGAATGGGATATATTCGTTCAGAATATGATGGAATCAAGTTTTAAATTAAACGTTTCTCTATTTCTCGATCATTTGTTGCGAAAAATGCTACGAACAAAAATTTCGAGGAGGAGAGAGCGTATTATTTTCCAATATTTTCACGTTGGAGAAAATATTATTATTGGATATCGTGCGATTTGACACGAATAAAAAATTGCATTTAAAATCGAAGTAGTACAGTTTTATCTATTCATGTAAAGAATTATTGATATTACTTTTTTTGCACATATACTACTTTTATAAATTCAATTTGCGAATTTTTTTCCCGAGATATTTAACTTCTCGTAAAATGTAAAAAAATTGCAAGTATTCTTAAAAAAATTTATAAACGGTAGTTATTTAATTTATTTTAGAAAATTATGTTTTAATTATTTGTTATTATTTGTGAATAACAAATTTTTTCAACAGTACTAATTATGTCGTGAATATTTACTGTCCAATTGTAAAAGAATGCACACTTGCTTCACAAATTGTTTATTTTAATGTGCAATAATGACAGCAAATTTAAACATTATTATGAAACGTTCAGCTGTTGGTAAAACAAATGCAAGATAACTGATATAAATACTAATTAGCAATCGAATTTTCGAGAGATTTTTATTTATTCCAATAAGAATTTACGTATTAACTTCGTACACTTAATTAAACGATATATTGCCAGTATTTAATAACTTTACAACTATTAATAGTTTTATTTTAAAACGTTTAAAAGCTTCACAATTTTCCTGAGCACATTTTTTTTTACATTTGCAAGATACAAATCTACACAAATCTTATTCTAATAGGTTAGCCAATATAATTATAATTTGTTGTGTAACTGAATAAATATACACATATTTACAAGCTACATCAATTCTTTTATATAACAAAGTTAATAATCGAATATCAACTAATCTGAGAAAATATATTTGGTCATAGAATTTGATCGCACGATCAGCAAAGACCATCGTTTTATTTTCGGTTATCACAAATGAAATTTACTAAATGTCTTATAAAAGAATTCTCGTAAATATAACAAAGCCCGAGGTATTTGCAATAGTGTATCAGTGTATCTAGCAGTCTATTCACATATACGGTCGCTCTACAAAAATTCGAATGTTGGATGACTTGATCCGAATCCTAAAGACGAAGAGGGACACGAAAGGCCACGTGACCGGGCGCGTGTTCAACAGTAACAGCTGCACCGATGCACTCCTTTCAATTCACGTTGAACCTTCACCGAGGTAACATTACAACGATCAGCTAAACGAATTTTATTCTTGGCTGACGTAGAAATATTTTATCCTAAACTTTGAGTGCCATAAAAATCATTTTATCCGCGTTTGTTGTGTTAATTTAATCGTAAATTATTTTGATAAACTATTCTCTAAATCGAGATCAAAGCGCGAGATCATTGTTCTCATTTGAATACGAGTATATCCTGATGCAGATAAAGTTATGAATATACCGTAATTTTCGAAAAAAAAAAAGAAGTGATTTTGATTGAAGTGGCAAGCACGAAGAATAGAATTCAAAAGACAATGGATAATCGCCGAAAACTAATCCGCAATCGATGCGTGATGCTGACTATTATCATCGTCTACACGTTGACTGTATTTATTAAGGTACGTATTCTTTTCGAAGCGAAAATTTGAATATATTTTATAGAATACATTTTCATATATTTGCAAAAATATTAGATTGATTTCCATTATGGAAATTATTACAATTATCATGGAAATCTGCAAATTAATCTTATTTTTAAAACCGAAATAATTAGTTAGTTATATAAGTGTTGTAAATAAATATGTCTAGGTTTATACATATTTGCATTAATTTTTTTATGAGATAAGCAACAGAATTAAAGTTCGAGAATTAATGATCAGATGTCAATTAATCAGAGAAAATGTATTCAATCACAGAATTTGGTGACACGAACAATTTTATAGAAGTAATCTGATAAAGATTAAAAAATGTATTAACGCAACAAAAGAGTGCCTGATTAGATTTACCTGAATATAGGAATAAATTATTATTCATTTGAGAAAAAAATTGCATGTGTTCGATATTCCTGTATTTCTTATTAATACGGTAAACCGGAGGAGGAAAAATTTAATTGCATTGGCATAATCCGCAAGAATGATGAGATTTGTTAAAAATAATCTTGAATTGAACGTTTTCACGTAAATTTCAATTGAATGAGATACATCGCTGATAAAGAGAGAATAATTGGAGGTATTTTTCTATTATCTTTGCTTTAAAATTCTCTGAAATTCCCGTGTTACGATCTCGGGTGCAGCGTAATTTCAAGCGCTATTTGAGCTCTGTTAAACGAGAGACATTGGAGAGACTAATTATTGACTGGATCCATAAAGCGCGAATGCAGGGCGAGGAAGAATGACCAAGATAGTAATTGTCGTGCGAAAGCAGACAGAATTTCGATATTGATTTCATGATAATTATTATCATGTGATTCGCTTGGCTAAAAAATATCACTGATAAAATCATTTCTCACGACCGTGAATTTGCAATTTCATAACAATAAAAAGATGCGGATAAAGAAATATGAGAGATCGTTTCTTGCGAAGGTCAAGCCAGAAATATCAAACTGCTAACACTTACGCAATATTTATCTGTAAAATATAATTTATAAGAGATGTCGAAATCGCGCACAAAAAAATATTTCTTCTGTTTATTACAGTTAATAGATTTTGTCATAAAAAATAAGAAGTTTCAATCAACTTATTCCAAAATTAAATACCTCATAAAAATTAGACTCTATTATTTCTTGCATTTTTTTGATAGATGTCATTTTTATTATTGATTATCTAGTTAAAGTAGTTTTTACTTAAATAATAAGAATTATTTGTATTGTATATAGTAGATGTATTTTTAAAATGCTAATATAATTATAATTAATTGTAATTTTATAAAATAATTATTAGGTGTTGGAATTAATTCGTAGCGTTTTACAAGTGATGGGAAGTACTTTCATTAATGTATTTTTTAATGCTCATGTGAAATAAATAACATTCTTTCATTGTAAAACGCTACGAATTAATTCCAACACCTAATACAATTGATATAATATTTTCTTCTTTAAAATCTAAAATACGTCGTTAAGGGAGACGAAGTTAAGTGAAATAGAAATTTGACTAATTCAAGAAACATGAAATCGATTAAGTGTTACAGAAAATAATCAAAGTTGTTTTACGCAATTAATGTTTTATGTAAATCTAATTTATTTTGCAATGCATTACGTTACAAACTTTTTACGTACATATTGATAAGAGTAAAAAATTGAATGCAAAATATATAATATCACGTGTTATCTGCGACACTATTGCACGATATTCGAAAATATGTACTACCACCCGCTACATTCACACGTTACGCACATGTGTCAGCGAGTTATTCGGTTCACTGGGGTATGCCATATTTTATGAGACTCATTAACATGGCATGGGAATCCGGAGCGGCGGTTCCGCTCGGAACGCGATTTTCACGATGCTTTACTCAACCTTTGATTTCTTTGCATTCCTACGACTCCGTATATAGGCACAGGGAACATTTATAATAATGAGTTTCAAACTGAGAAAAAGAAAGACAGATAAGATAAAGAAAAAAAAGATAAAGAGGGATAAGGCGTTTATTATCGTTCTAAGATCTTTAAGAACAAATAAATTAAAGCAAACGTAATACAGAACAAAAATTTAGAAGAATTAAAGAAAATTAGTTATAAAAAAGAACAAAAAGAGGGAAAATATATGTATAAACTCAGACAAATGATGTTCACAAATAATAAACGAAACAAAGCCAATGAATTAGGGAGAGAGTTACATACTGAACTATTGTCACAGATGTACCTAAGGAAAAGGTGTTATTACTCTCTGTGCTGATGTAATATACTATATGCAATGCCTCACTATTCGCGCATTCAATAAATTATCAATCAATATATTATCAATAAATTACAGTCTCGGTACGATACGGCGATGTGACACATGATGACAAAATAATTATTTATAAAACGGTACTTCATAACACGACTATGTAGATTCGAAGAAAAATACGACATATTTGACACAGGCCGAATCGCGAAACGAGATGTAAAGAGAAGTCAGGGAAAAAAAGGTCTAAAGAAAGGGAAAGGGATATGAATGTCCAATTGTTAGCACGGCATTGCACAGGAAGGGCATGAACTCGTTGAAGTTTCACATACTTACGTATTGTAAGTTATCAGCATGGAAGAATCCGTTTGATGAATGGCGCCTTGAGAGCACGTAAAATCGGCTGAGAGATTTTATGTGACTGATGAAGTCTTCAAAAGATACTGATATTTATTAGCATCGTAAGAGAATTTGAGATGCGATTTCCTTGTAGCGATGTTGTCATGATTATTCTTATATATGCTCTGTATTCTTATATATGCTCTAAACAAATATAAAAGGCACTCGTTCGCTGACGAATATAAAATTCTAATGATCGCAATCTAACACGCAATGTTGTTTATAATGATCGTGAGTTTTTCTCACTGTTTTTTTACTTCCTGTTTTATATTAATTTTTATATTTTTTTTTATTAATTATCACTTGCGAAACTTTGCGTCGCAGAAATATTAATGTTTGTTAGAAAAAATACTTAATGCGGACATTGTTAAATTCAGCTGTGATTTATTATTATTTAGAATGATATTGCAAATTTGACTTTAGTGTTACCTTGAACGCTGCCTTCAGTGTCATTAAAGGATCCAATTTGTCATGTCTTAAAGCGAAGACGAGCTTTCAAAAATTTGGTCCATTATCAGTTTGGACACTTGGCTTCTTAAACGTAAAATTTACGTATTGATAATAACAATATTGCCTCGCTCGATAATGATATATTCTAAGTAATTAATCTATAAATTAAGTATTCTAAGTAATTAATCTTTGTTTTTTACGTAACATTTATTTTTGCAACATTTCAAGTTTTTTTCAGAAGAACATTCTCAAAAAAATATCAAGTTTTATTTGGAAGATGAGTTTTGTAATTAATGCAAATTATTCGCGACGTTAAAACAGATACAAGAATATGCTTTTATCTCCCTTCCTCCCTCGTATCCAGGTGCATGGTAGCTTCCTCCGATTTATAGAATATGCGGAGGGCGGAGTGTTCACGGAACAATAGGGTGCGTAGCGACCGAAGATAATTATCGTGGTTCTCGAGGCAGCTGCGACTGTGGATTCACCCTCGGGGTAACCCAGCGTCTTCCTCCGGGAAGTAGAGCCGGCTGATGTGCTCGGAAGTCTACACACATACACACACACACACACACACACACAAAGAGGACAGGGGGAACCCAGTCTGGCGTGACTCCGCAGGTACTGCTTGTTGCAATTTGGCGGTGCCCTTCTCTAAAAGTATCGGGACTTTGCGGTTCGCTCGAAAGCGGAAATAACGTAAGGAAATATTGAAAGTATCAAAAGATTATAAATATATAGAATCCAGAATATTATAGGATAGATACTCGTGAGTCTCGATGGCTCTACGAAAAGGAATATCGAATATCTTTAAATATTAATGATATAATTGAGAGAAAACTAGAAAGTACACACATTTCTCATATTAATTATATTATATTTAAAATTATTCGATAATCTCTTCCATTCAATTAATTAATATTTCTTGTTCACTTAATTTTTTTACTCATTTTTGTAAATGTAGGAAGTATTTATACAAGTTTGACGAATTTGATAAATATATTTCAATCAGTATTGGCAGACTGAGAAATCGTAGAGATTCAATCTGTACAGTAAAGTACGTGCATCGACGACGAGCACGAAACGTCTTATCCTGTAATAACGTTTGGAACGTGTCTCCATTTGGCTTCAAAATTACTGCAATTTTTTTTTCTCGTGCGCGAGGTATCCACCTCTTCCGGTGACAAATGGAAGTAGGCCACGTTCCTTCGGGTGAATCGGGTAGGAATAATTCGCCACCCTATTCACATGCGCGTGTCTTTTCAGCTACCCTCAAAGCGCTCGTGCACGCGTGTATTATACTCAAAATTCTTTCCTTCTTTTTTCATCATTAATTATCTTCGTGGTCGCGAAGACGTGACAGAGTAAAAGATAATTACTACCAATCACGAAATTAATAAATTCAATGGAAACCACTTTCAAAGTTTCCGGACATTGAGGTTTTGATTTTTCAATCACTTGCCTTCAATCACTTATACTTTTTAATTACTTGTTTTTAGTTATTTTACTTATTGTACTTTTCAGTTACAGCTAAATTCTTTAAAATCGTTGATTTCGTAAAAAAAAGAAAATGTTTAAATAAAGCGGCAAAGAGCTTTTATTACAATGAAACTGACCGATCGGATGAACGTCATCAAAGTTTTACGTCACGTGGTATGCGCATCCATCGCGCCGTCTATTCGTTTGAAATTTATCGATATCGATGTATCGACTAGAAAAAAAGAAAGAAAATAGAAGCAGAAGCGGGATACAAAGGGACCAGCAATTACCGCTTCCGTTCTGTTCGTCATACCGGAAGTTTCTATTCATACTCGTCGCACTATGAGCGTAACTTTACTTCCGTCATCGTTGTTACGGATCGTTAACAGACCTCGCCTGGCTTTTTGCCCTGTCAAGTCTATAGACCTGTTCACATTGCTTGAAATTCCCAAAAAATTTAAAATGAAATAGATGTACAATACATTTGAGCTTTGAAAAGAGAGAAAGTGAAGATGTTGAATGAAAAAAGTGCAAGCAACGCTAACAGATCTTATATCTCTGAAAGTTATTTAAAAAATATATCTTCACGTTGCAAGAAGATATCGAGCTATTCAACACATTTCTTCTAAGTGTCTAATTACGCAGACATTTATTGGCATACTATTGGGTTCCTCAGACTCGTAAGGCCTGTGTCTCCTTTCCACGGCGCATAATCGGTTTACAACGTGCTCTCGCGATGACAGAATTCTCGAACCGGCGAAAAGAAATATCGGAAATCGCTAAAGAATGCTTCCAATGCCTCTCTTTCTCTTTGGTCAGCTCTCTGCATCGTTCGAGCGCAGCGTCGAAGCTCCGAGTGACGATTCGTCGACTCGTAGTACCGAGTACAAGAATGTTCTGCGGTTTCTACAAATGAACTTTTTTTCCAATCGATAAATCACTTGCACAGGCAAAATCGTCTTCGTGTCTTCTTGACTGTTGCAAAATCCTCGAGAGTATTTCCATCGAAGAATGCAACGTTCTCTCCCACTTGGAGCAATTCTGAGAAGCTCCGAAGATCGATGTTTCTTGCTTGTTGATGCTCTTACGAAGTATTCTCGCTCTCCGCTGGAATTATAAACCTCAACCGTAGTTCTTCAGTTCTTAACTCACTTCGGCATCACCTTCAATACAATCTTCCATTAAAATTCTATTACGCCAAACTTCGAAGTTAAGTGAAGAACAAAATTTCATTTATATTTGTTTTCACTCTTGTATTCCCTCTTTTCTGAAAGTTAATTCGTTGAGGAATTTATTTAAAACTTATTGAATATTCGACGGTTTATTATTGTCTGTTTATTATACTGTGAATGCGCTAGCTTGATAAAGTAGTTACTTTGAAGGGTCGTAACCCTTTACTAATTTAGTAAACGCAACCCTAAATTGATGAGATAAAATCTATGATAAAAAATTATGACCGTCCAATTGCAAATTACGAAAAAATAAATGTTGTTTCTCTTAGGAACAATTTTGTATTATCAACAACGTACAACGAAAATCAAAATTTTTCATAAAATTAGTTTTTATACAAAACATTAATCCTAGTTACGTAAATGAGAGCATAAAGATGTACAACATCTTTAAAATGAAATTAAAAATTATTCTCTGAATACCGTACGCTTATATATCAATTTACATCACTTACGAATTTGCAATTTCGTGTAAAAGACAATATAATTTTAAGAAAGCATTCTTGGCAATAAAATCTCACGACTTCTGATTCTTCCCACAAATTACAGATATTATTACACACATTCGTTCATTGTACGAGAGTTGATAGTACAAAATTGTTTCTAGGAAAGACTAATATCATTTTTTCAATAATCCATGTCGTGAGAAGCTCGATGGCAAGTCCACGATACAATGTACGACGACGATGGTGTGCTCGCAGAGGTAAGGTGAAGGGTTTCAAATTAAGGCCCGGTGCTAACGATTCGCGTGATGCGTGGTGACCGTCGGCGCGTGCCGCACGAAGCAGCTGCCAACAGCTGCTGTAGAAAAGAATTACCTCTTGTTCTTATTTTATTTGTTACTTGTCGCCAAACCTCTGTGGTCAAACGATAACGTTCGCCTTTCGGGAAATACAGTGGGCAAAAGTCTTTTGTGTGAGACAAACGGTGTTAAAAATTTAACTACCATCGCACGTGTTTCTCGGAAAATATATAAAGCCAATTGTCATCAAAATTTCATTGACTATATGAATCCAAAATTTAGACTGAGATCTCTTGAGATGATATAAAATATTATTGTAATTACAATGGAATGCATGGGGAAAGGCAGTAATATATTTAATAGTAATATATTTTTTTAAATATATTTAATTATGTTATTATTTTATGTTAATTATTTTATTTAATATATTTAAATTTATTGTAATGATATATTATGATATTTAGAAAGTATTTTAAACTGAGAGAAAGTTATGGATCTCTCAATCGATCAGACTGACTTATTTTGGGAAAATTAGTCGGCGAAAGTGTAGCGGATATCCTAACGTATTAAAAGCAAACATTTTATGCGTGAGAGAGTAGAGAGGCTCATATATCGCGTCTCTCGATCTGCTCGAAGTAGGCGGAAGAAAGGCGCAAGGTGTTCCCTCGAAGTCAGGTGGCCGCCTTCTTCAGTGCACCTGTTGTTGAACGGTTGAAATTACATTTTATCAATTCATATTAAGAATAGTAGAAAAGTAATATCCATCAGTAATAATAAACCGACTATTCTAATTCTAGTACGATATTTATTTGCTCTGCTCACAAATCCTTTTTAGAAAACAACTTTATATCGCAGTTTTAAATAATTTAATTATTCACAAATTTTCTTTAATTATCCACAAATATCACTTAAAACCAACTCGTTTCGTGGATCGTGTAATCAGTTTTTAAATTCTGTCGAAGATTCCAAAAAATTGTAACGTGGAGTCTTTAGAAAATAGCCTCATTAGAAAACAGCTTTGAAACACGTGCAGGAATACAGTTTTACAAAGACTCTTCAATTATTTACAAATGTCATTCGACCATGCCAAGTGGTCGGATTGATTGTACGGTCAATTTTTAAAACCTTTCGAAGATCTGATCCTAAAAGATCGCGACGTGGAGCTTTCAGAAAACAATGTCTCTTGAGAAAATAACTTTACATTGCCTGAAGGAACGCATGCAGAAATACAATTTTAGACTCTTTAATTATTCACAAATGGCATTCTGGGTCAAGTGGTCGGATCGATACAGTCAATTTTTAAATCCTTTCGATTTAAAAAAAATCGGGACATAGAGTCACTCGCTCGCCGTCCCAACGAATTTCACCTTTCGGAGCACTAACCATCTGCCGTTCTGTTTCCAGGCGGTTGAGAGCAGGCCTCACATCAGGCACCATCGGGAAGGCTCGCACTGCAGCAGATGCGGTCCAGGCTGGGGCGTGATTAGCCGTTGCGCTCGCGGCCGCGACACCGTATGCGAGCGATGCCCCAGTGGTACGTACAGCCCGCATCACAGCACGCAGCCCTGCTGGAATTGCGCCAGATGTGGCCCGGGTTTGTACGAGGCTCATCCGTGCACATCGCGCACCGACACCGTCTGCGACTCCTGCCACCGTCCAGCACCGGACAATCCGGACTACCGGCGGAAGTGCGAAGGTCGCGCGAGGTTCTTCCTCGCCCCGGAAGACGCGAAGAGCACCGCCGAGGAAAGCGTGCTGGTGAATGAGCCCGCTTATAGATTCCAGCTGTACAACAGGGAGCAGGTACTTGAGAAGGATGTGGAGGCCATCCTGAGGGACAAAGAGACAGTTGGATCAGAGGTTCTACAGAGGGTCAACCAACCATCGTCCGAACATTAATTTTATCTTCAAGATGATCTGACGTATTCCTATCCATGACGAAAAAGAAGGTATAAAGTTTTTTTCGATTAGAATTCTTGAAGTTTGATTATTACTAATTTACCTGAGAAATAAATGGATGGTGTAGAAATTCGTACAGACTCGTAATAAGATTAGAAGAATAATATAGGTTCGACCTTTATTGATCGATCTTTTAATACTAGTCAATTAGTGCTTAAGAGAATTAATTTCTTTTGCGGAACAGCGAACGACTTTAGTACGAGTTGAAAAATGGGAATATTTTCGCAAAGTGAATATTCATTTAATATTTGTCGATTAGAATTCCGATTGTTTGCGTAGATTACAACACAATAAAGAAATGAAAAATACTTCCTGACACCCCGCTAAGTATATAGCATAAAAAAAAATCCTTCTCCTTAATACGAATAGACTGTTACATTTTTAATATTTAGATAAGTATTGCAAGTCGTATTACAAATGCATATGTCAGTAACTGTTGTTCGTAGATTCACCGTAGATTTCAATTTATAAAATAGTTAGAAATTTTTCATCCAAGCGTCCGATCGTGAAACATAGTTCTATAAAAATTTAGACTCTTTATTTTTGTGTTTTCGAATATTATCATTGCGTCCCTTACAGAAATTTAATAAATTGTCGAATTCTTAAATATTGTAAAACAGTAATTATTTATTTTAAATATTAAAAGCACCATTGTTCATTATACTTCAAATAAATAATTAATTACTATCTCAATAAATTTGTTTTATTTATTTTTAATACTAAACTGGTTATTACATTTCTGTAAGGAACTGATTTAGATTATTATCGTTACGATTGATAACAAGTGCACGTGTATTTGTGTAATTAATCAATATGCTCAAACCTACAAGTAAAATTGACAAATTTTTTTAGATTTATTCGAAATTAGCATGATCGATATTGTTGGACGCTAAGGCGATATGATCTTTCAATGTTATTTCGTCTGAAAATAATCTGATCTTTCACTTACGTGATTACGAATTCAATCTTCTAATCCATATTTAATAAGCTTTTTGAATTACGTATGCGAACGATCCGAAGATATAAATATCACCAGGCACTGTAAAATATAATAGACGTCTGCATTGTGAAATACGATCATCTACAACTTTCAGCATTATTTATACATTATTCCGTATACGAAAATAGATCTGTGTGAATACCAACTTACAATGCACTTTGCTAAGCATACTTTGATTATCCTCTTCAAGCAACTGGCACATACGTGTTCTTCAATTTCTTAAATATATTGTTGATAAAAGAAAAACAAATAACATTCACTATAGTATTTCTAATCCTTTTCACTTCTTTTTTCTTTATTTAATTGATATGAATTTAAATATTCAAAATAAAATATAATTAAACATTTTATTATACGAATATTTTACATAATGAAATGCACATTCTAATTTTAGTAGTCGAAACTGAATTGAGATTACCTTCTTGCGTACAACTTTCAATTGGAGTCAATTGCATTGAAAAAAACTACATCTTTTATTTTGAGCAGTATACATGTTGCATAGAAAAAATTATTTTTATATTGAAAGCCATAGAAATGTGCTCCATACAATTCCTATAAATGAATAAGACGCATTCAGATTGGAAAGAATTTATTTTAACGTTCGTGAATATCTGAAATCTGAATTCAATTCATTCTCATTTATTGAAACGTGAATATTTCATATGCAAAATAAGACTGCAAAGTATATTAATATTAATATGCGGCAATGTATCTTTAGAATTATGACGTGTTCAATGTTTCATATATTTGCGAATCTTATTGTCAAACGAATGCATGATTAACAATTAAATGCTAGAATATGTCGATCAGACAGATCTGCCAGTGGCGAATTATAGCGCTATAAAAAATGCATGCCTCAAACGGTACCGTTGATTTATTTTAGTATTGTAAAATGCATTTTTAAGAGCTATTGTAAATATACTTTAGCTAAATGCTACTTAAATAACGTCGTTACTGCATTTACCGTACCATTTCAAAACTTTCATAAAAAGAATTTTTTACGCTAGATAATTGTCAAAAGCTACAAAATCACAAAAGAAGTTTGTGTGACAAAGTTTTGTGTGTTTATCGAATCAATATTCATGTAATAACGTACATTTAAAAAAAACTTTGAAGTGAGAGTTACATCTAATATACCAATAAACTCTGCACGAAGATTTTTATTGATTATTGAAAGTCATTCTATTGATTATCTGGAAGAATTTATCTGTGAAAAGAGCGTGGTCATTGTTGATACGTTCTCGAAACACCTTGAATTAAAGTTTGCATTAAAAATAAAAGTGATTATCTTGAATGTTTATTTTTAGCATTTAATGAACTAATCCAGTATTTTGTAAATATATAAATTGCTAATAATTTGATAATCACAAAACTTTGTGACCAAACTTTTCTCACTCTAATAATAAACTATCCTTATCACCCTAATAATATTTTTGTGCATAATTTTATGTTCCTTTATAATCTTAATTCCAATTCTGATCCAGTTAGTCTTTGATCTTTACTTTCTAACAAAAAAAATTCTATCCTAGTTTTATATTCCTATCTTTTAAAAATATACATATTTGCATAGAAATTCGTAAACTAGTTATAAAGATTACAATAAATCAATATTCGATGTAAACTATCAATGTAATATTTACGTTTTATCTTCTAGGTTTAAGAATTAAAAAAGACAAGGATTAAATTAAACCGAGATTAATCTACATTGATAGAAATGGACATTAATCGTCCAAATTTTTGCGCTGACTCATTCTAATAATTAATCTGTGGATTTCTATGCAAATACATATATTTTGATAGAAATAGGTCTGATTGAAGTTAAAACGGAGAAAATTGTTAAAACAATGACAGAATGAAGAGCCAGGTAAAGTAGGCACATTTTTATATGAGAGATAATATTTATGTATATATATTATTTTATGATATAAATCAATAATGTCTTATAAACGTACATGTGTACATACAAAGCTAAATGATACAAAATAAATCAGTGATCCAGGAAAGGACGCTTGCACGATTTATTCTGCGTAAGGAATCGGCTAGAGCGGTACTCGGAAGAGATAAAGAAGGGCGAAAACGAACGCATGCTACGGGACTAAAGATTTCTCGCGTAAAGATTGAATGTAGAAACTGCGGTTTTTTGAACTTCCGTGAAAACTCCCCGAGGTTCGGAACTCTATGAATATTAAATCGAATGGCGAATTCATTATATATATATATGTAAAAAAAAATACGTGTATTCGAACGATGTGCCACGTGCATAACTAGAACGAAAAATCCTATGAAACTTGCTGCGCGTCAGGAAAAAGAGTAAATACACTAGCTAATCGTAGCTGGAGATCAAGACCAATATACGCTCATTAACATTTGACTTCGAAGTCACAATGGTCAAAAACCACACGGGACGACACTCATGCATATGCTACACGAGGAAATAAATACGATGAACATCGTTAATTACAAAGACGAAAGTCGCAATCTACTATGATATTATCATACAATACGCTCGTCCGCAAGCAACTCGTGAGCGAGGCAACTCGTGGCCGAAAATCAGTCGCGATCTGCTCTCTACGCTCGTTTTATTTTTTCGCGCTCATCAACCGTTTCGGCAGTTGTTCGCGATAGGTCTAGTAAATTTCTACATTAAATCTGTACACGATTAGACCGCAATGAAAAGGAGACAACGACACAAACGATAGCGCGAAAAGGTAGATATTCCCGCGCAACGGTCAGACACTCTTTTTTTTTCTTTAATTTCTCTCGTATGTGTGTGTAAACAGACGAGTATTTTTAAGACTACACGAATTGAATATCCGAATATTAGAATATCTCGACATTCGTAAATAATTTACGGAATTTTAGAGTAGAAGACGATAGGCTTTATGGCATTAATGTGATAAAAACGAGGTCTTTCATATCACATCGCTTTACACGATATTGTGAGTAATTCGGTTTACCAAAAAATTCTAACAGATAACAACGAATTACGCGGATAGATATTCGAGATATTCGAATTATTCGAACATTTAGCACATATTGTAGTCAAATATCGAATCGTACCGACGGCTTCGATCGTCAGCAGATCGGAGCATCGCCACATGATAATCTAACAATATATATAATTTATGTATTTATAATATAAAGATATGTATATATTATATATATTAACGCAACTTTCATTTGAATGTGAAACGGCCCACGCACGATCTATCGATCTGCATAAATTTCGCGTGATATTTCTCTAATATATTTAATTTTACGTATAGCTCGAATGCTTAGATTCGCGCAATAGTCTTTTGTTACGTAAATCGTAGGATCATGAGTGGGCCTTTTAAATCTAAAGCGCAACACGATTCTCATCTCTATAGTATATAATAAACGCGAACTCTATATAATAGTACGAATGAGGAGATATATCGTTATTATAAATATCGTTGACTGTCTTTGTTTTTAAAATATAATCAAACTTTCTCGCAAAATCCATGACTGGCGGTCAATGTTTGGTCGAGGGTCCACGTTAATCAGTTTGTCAATTCTTCTAAATGTATAAAATTCGAAAAATAAAACTCCACACATAAAACGACGCACAAAACACACATGAGATTCATTAATAAAAGTCGATTATTGTACGCAGGAAATCAATAAAAATTATAAAATATTCATAATATAGTTTGAATAGAGAGAAATTCATGTATTATATATATATATATATATATATATATATATCCATATATAATTAGAAATAAAAAAATTTTTACGATATTTTTTCATTTCAAATTGGACTTTAAAATATAGATGGAAGTGGAAAATTCTGTTCTGCCACATAATTTCGATCTAGTTCCATTAAATTTCCATCTCTTTGGTCAGCATTTTTTATTAGAGAAAAAAGATTTAAGGATAAAGACATCAAAGATCACAGCTCTACAGTATTTCACAGACCTTGGACAAGAAAACTATTATAAAGGAATGTTTGAACATGTAAAACGTTGGGATAATTGTCTCAATGTAATTGTTTACAATGGAAAAATTTATTTTCTTTTATTGTCATTTTTTTCTTGATTTTAAAAATAATTTTTATTTAATTTTAATTTGTATCTTAATTATCCAACAATTAAAAGAATACTGCGATTTAAAATGTCATTAATATATAAAACACAAATTATATCAATTTTACATATATATTACACATTTATACGTAAAAAGATCTATAATGGTATAACATAGCAAATTGTTATCCTCTCATTTCTTTCTAATAATAACAATTTATAGATTATAATTTTAGGTTGGATTATACGTCAGTATCGCAATAAAAAAATGATAATTAAATTTTATAACAATTTGTACCTAGTTTAGATAAGAAAAAAAGTTATACTGTTAACAATTTGAAATGTTAACTATTCTATAAGAACGAGAGAAATGAAAATATAAAACGCCCATGTTTCGTTTCACATTGCTTATGATTTAACGACAATTATAATCATATATCTAATAGTAAAATATTCTATCGTGACGAATAATATTTAAAAAAGGGAGAGAAGGTAATAATGATGATAATAAAATCTCATTAAATCAAGTCGTAAAACTGATAGCGCCGTGTTCTCTCGACCTATTATAATTAAAATACAGCTAATACACTATAATATAAAAGAAAAGAAATATAATGGGAACATTAGACACATGAATTTACACTATATGAATATGAAAAATATACATCTTACTTTCCTGAAGAATAAAACATAATTGAAGAATAAGAAACAAATTTGAGCTTGTATGGCTATGAATAGCGCAATCTATCCTGAAAATATTTATAGCCATTTGTGATCAATTTTATATGTACAATTGTGTAAGACTTTACAAAATCGGTAACACGTCACCGATCATTATAAAGCGATATTTAAATCATAATTAGAGCTGCTCTCTTCCCACTGTTATTATCATAATCAACATATTATTAACTTCAAATATTATCTGTACAGAGTTGTACACTCTACTAAATATACATCTTACGCAAAGACTCCGAAGATAATAAAATGTACTTCTATAGTTACAAATAATTAACCTGTAGACATTTAATTTTTAATAATAATATACTATAATACGATATACCTCCCATCTCATTTTGCAAACATAGAAATGACCAGCCATGGATTTATACTCTAATCAATATCAATGATACAGAAAATCTAGGTCAATCTAAGACATTATTCAAACTCAAGATCAGGACAAAGACAATTAAATATAAACTATTAATTGTACACAATAATTAATTCGCAGCTCCGTTAAATATAAGGGTATCTAGATAAACAGCTCATATTATACAACTACTGTCATTGTGCCCAAATCTACTCTCGCTCACGCGGCAATCTCATGGCAAAATATCAATGCAAGCAATTCGTGAATATGAACAAAACTCATGACGCATAGGTACAAAACGATATAAAAGAAAATGATGTGCAAAGAGAGATGTTCTACTCTGAATAATCGAAGTGATTAATCTATGTTTTGAAACTATATAAATTGCAACGATACGGAGGGAAACTTGTATTATAAAACTCAGTAAAAAAATCTTATGCTTTGTTTCTATAATGCGGCTCGAGTGTTTCTACAATACGTACATATCCATAGCTAATCTAGCTTCTTCATTGTCTTTCTCCATTTCGCATTCTCGCTTCATCCGCTTAAATTGTAGATTGTAATATAAGATGCAGACACATTCAAAACAGATCCACACCTTAGTATCCTCGATTATGAGATAATACTGTCTGTCATAGCCAGTTCATATACATATCCCTCGTTTTTTTCAGTACTTAATTTCGATAATCCTGATTCAAACTTATGCCTCTTCAATAAAATGATATATAGTGACACGAAACTACCTATACGAAGATATAGATCTTAGATAAGAGCGTTATTGAGTGTAAGCTTGGGTACAACGCAAATATTTCTTAACAAATAACCATCAATATCTTTTTGAACGACGCGAGATGACATCATCGTTCGATAATGATATGTCCTCTCACGACGTAGTGCTAATTTTTCGATAATATTTACGCCTGCTAGGCCGTTTAAAATTGGTCCACCAGCAGGTCACAGATCTCTACCGACATCGATTCTTTACTCGAACGTACTGTTAAACGGAACATCTGCAAGCAGAAATGTGCAGTTAAATAGAAACACAAATTATCATGTTTATTACGATATTGAATCTTTCAAGAATTGAACATTACCTGGGCTTGTTTATTAGGTTCAAGACGTAACAGGCAACCCACTTGCTGCGCCCTCATATGAACGATACCAGCGCAGACAAAATTATCGGGATTCGGATCAATGCCATCAAGCAGTTGCATTCCAAATCCTTGTAGTTTCGTGCGTACTTGTGTCAGATCCATAGGTTGTTGCGCTTTGAAAATCTTTTGTGATCGTTGTTGATTCGCTCTGAAAATAAATTTAATATGGAAATCAATCTATGGAACTATTTAAAAAAACCTCACGTCTCTCTTTCCCCCTTAATTGTATTGCAATCATATCACATACCCGCCAAGATTTTTCCATCTTGCAAAGAATGATTCCCCATTCATTTCTGTTGGTTCGAAGAACTTATTAATTGTTAATGGTAACTTCATTGTGATCTTCTGTGGCACATTATTGTAAATGAAGGAGATAATCATGCTCGGCGAATCTATAAATAGGAAATACTACGTGTAATGGAACAATAATATATTCTGATATTAATTATTAAAAATTTGTAAAAATATAATAATAACGTACCATTATAGTCGTCAATACATTCTGCATTGATCATTTGCTGGATTTGAGCACCAGCTTCCAATATAGGATCAACAGGTTTTACTTGTACAGCTAACTTTGCTTGATTCTCATCTGTCCAAGATAGTTGTGGTTGAAAACTGTGCAAGGCATATTGCGTCTTGTTTCCATAAAAAAGACCTACACGTCCAAGATTTTGTCTAAACTCCGATTTTACACCGATTTGTATCAAGTCATTCTCAAACAAAACACCATTATTCTTACAAACAAACCTGAAAAATACAATCAGAATAATAATTATTACAAATATCAATATTATAATTATATAAAAATTTCTCATCGCATAATATATTTTACTTTTTAGGATTGTATGTATTTTGGGTGCCGTTGGTAGTACCAAGTTTATTTGGCATGTTATAAATATCTCCCAAAACATCAAGCAATACGCCTGTATTACTAGACGGTTGCGAGGAAGGTGGAGTTGACAAGCCTAGTAAATCAGCAGAAGAATTATTAACTGTCACGGTTGTAGCAGCAGCAGGAGGAGGTTCAGTGTGATGATTAGTGTTTGGCGCTGGACTCTTGCTTTCTCTAATTTCATTCTCTGGTACTCGACCCGGTTTTTTCTTCTTTAAAACTGCAAGAATGGAGGATTCCCTTTCGGGAAATGCTGGCATTTCTTCTAATACGGTGGCCTACAGAAACAGATATATCAATGACAAATATTCATATTTTTAATTGTTACATGTTACATACCAAGACATCAGTTGAAGCAATAATACTCAATTGCAAATATTCTGATGCTCTTTGTTGCAACTCAGCGTCTGCGCTACGTAAATTACTATGCTGTCTGAAGACATCTTGGATCTGGCTGCGTATTTCGGGGAACAGATTGACAAACTTTATATACGTCGAAAGTAGTAATGCTCGAGTCATGGGAGAGCATAAATGATACTGTAAGAGATACTACTACATTCCAAAGTAAGTGCATATATTTTTATTTTTGATATATATATATATATATATATATATATATATATATGAACAATTTTCAAAAATAAAAATATATGCACTTACTTTGGAATGTAGTAGTTGAAACTGAACAGCTGGAGAAGATCGTTGGTCGCCAGCTATGAGATTACCAAATTCTCCAAGTATATAACCACCAACTTTAACCATATTTTCGTGACAAGCGGGTGCTTGCAGCGCCTGTAACATACAACACATACAAAATGTCGGAATAATTTTACAAAAGGAAAAAATATATATTTTACCTCAAAGACGGTTTTCGCAGCATAGCCCTGAACATCATCTCGATTGATAACAATCTGAATAACTCGATACCAAACTTCTTCGGATACGTAATCGCCTGCTATCCTAATCAGATTTAGGATAACATCAACATACCAAGTATAATCGGTTGCATATTTTTCCGCTAAAATCGCAACTTTAAGGACCATTTCTTCTCTAATTGAGTAATCAGCTGTCTCCAAATAATTTAGCATTTCCTGAACAATCTCTTCGGCATTGCTTTTATCACACATGGCATATAATAGGTCTACTGCTTGCTGTCTCACAGAAACGTCCTTCTCCATCTTCATTGATAATATGACTACTTCTTGGTGTTTCTTTACGGCTTCGTGCGAGAATTCTGAAGTAGCCAAATGGCACATAGATTCGAGTGCCAGGTATCGCAAATTGGTCTCTCGGTTCGATAAAAATTGACCGAGCTGATTGCATGCTCGTACAAGGAGATTCGGCTCGCTATCGTTGTGAATAATTAAACTAATGGCTTCAAAGAGAACAGCATTTTTCGCGTTTGAGTGCTGGACCTTCTTTGACTTGGGTGGTTCTTGAGCTTTGTTTAATATTGTTTCTAGACATTCGTTTAATCTGCCTCTCACACCTGGATCTTCGGCTGCAAAAATATAAATTCCGTAAATAAATATATCCTACAATATATCCTATTGTATTTCTACATACAATGTACTTCATGTATTGTGGAATTAAATACCTGGTGGTGTATAATTCTGCAGCAGACGTAATAACTTGACAGATAACCATGGGGCTGGTACAAAGTAATACGTATAATCTTGCAGATCTGTATAACTTGACGTAACAATCTACAATCGCAGAAAAAATGTTAAATAATATTCTTATTGTCGTACGATTTTTACTTCAGTAACGTACTCTACTTAATCTCGAAACTGCAAGACTAACGCAGCCTTTGTATTCATCGGGATTTCTTTTTACGAGAGCGTCTATGAGTGATGCTGCGGCTGTTACAACGCCCAGATGTTGGTCGTTCAACAGATGAACTATACGCGACGTCCATTCACCGCCAGGTACGACATCAGGAGCTGTCCGCAATAGTCGCAGTAGACACAACGCAGCACTTTGTTTCACAACGTCCATGGTATCTCTATAGAACAAATATTTGAAAACTCAACGAATATCTGATATAAGCATGGCTATATAAAGCAAATACAATATGTCGTACCCTGAGACAAGCAATTTTGGAATTTCATTGCCGAAGGCTTCCGCCATTTCCTTACTACCGATATTAGCGATGCATTGCAGCGCCAAATTAACATGAATTGGATTGCGTGAGGCGAGATCATTTTTTATACTTTGTATGATTAACTTAATCAGATCACTATTAGTGTTCACTAGGACTGATATGAAAAGATATCCCTAGAATTATATGAGTTAGATAGTGACATCATCCGCTACATTATTGTGCATATTGCAGATCGATTGTTTTACTTACAATTTGTTTCTCTGAATATTTATTTGATGAAAGTAGATTGACAGCTTCCATATGTCCAAAATCGATATCATGGCCAAGAAGAAAAATAAATAACAGCTTGCAAACATATTTCTTTTTCTGATATCCATCGAGTGTTTTATCTCCTTTAAACTTGCTGCGTATGTTTGCTAGTTCCTTGTTAATTCTCTTAATTTCTGCCTCTTTACTTTTGCCTAGTAACATTAGTACAACGTTTTAAAAAAGAAAAGACTGCACAAGTGTATCTATCATCCTTTATACAAACAGATCTTATATAATACAATAATAAGGTACGTTTGTGACAAAAAAATAAAATATGCATTAGAATAAAACTTTTTTATTGTAATATCCTCATTTATATTTTGGCTAAAAATATTCAAGGATTTTTTATTATACATATGGATCAAAATAATACATCAGCAGAACTCGATATAAAAAATAATGATAATTGCCAAATGACTTATAAAGAGCAATCTTTTTCAGTTCAGAAAAGTGGATAGTTATATAAATAAATAATATGCATAAATATATATAAAACTATACAATTGTGCCTTCTATAAATATCTTAAGAAGACCAGCGTTCGTTTTTAATAAACGTTTAGCTAATGTGTGGTAGATTGATATTGAGAGTCAAGCTATATCACAAGAAGATAGGCCTATATCAGAACCGCCCCCTTTCTCCTGCTCCTCACAACGTTAAACACGTCACATACAATTTCAGTTTCAATGGCACATTATCACTCGAGGAATAAAATGTCATTAATAGCATCAAATACAAGATTAGCAGTATTTGAAGGAACAATAGCAATGAATTGGGAATGATTTACAATGCCGACAATCACATTATATAATCCAGCAATTAAATGTGAAGTGTGAGTATTATTGATGGAAAAATATAGAACACTGCCACACAACGGTTACTTACAATTCCTGATGTCCGATATGAATACCGCCAATCCACGCATACCATCTCCTCTGACGGCCGGCATCTTGCCTCGTTCTGTTCAAGATTACCTGTGAATGAGAGCGAGAGCTATGTGAGAACACTCGGACGTTCATTCCCCTCCAATCTGAGACGCTTAGAGATCGCGCTCCGACGCAGATATACTGTAATTGGTATTTGTTTCGCTCACTGAAAACGACGTGACGCAACGACGGGACGGCCGCGATCGCTCCTATCGCCGCGCGCTTCTATACGTGCCGTCTTTTACAATCGCAAAACTAATTTCTCCTTCTTCTCTCTCTCTCTCTCTCTCCCCTCTCTCTCTTTCTTTCTGTCTCTCTCTCTCTCTCTCCTCTCTCTCTCGCGCTGAGCGTGCTAATCGGGGAAACGGAATATCGTATGTACGTGGCGCCGAGTGGAGCTCCGGAATATAAAGTTCAGCCGTCGAAGCCACTCGGAAGAAACGCGATTGAAATCGTCGTATTCACAATTATTAAATTCGTCGAGTGATCGGAGTCGGCGACGCGGCTCTGCACCGCGAATTCCGACGGTGATTCTTGACAGCGATGCGGCACCCGGAGACCGTCCCGGCTAGCGAGGAGGAGAGATGGGGAGGGGGGAGAGGACACGTACCGGACGCGACCGTCGGAATCGACGGGGGGACGGATCCGGGAAGGCAGACGATCGCGCGGCGACGTATCGATCGAGGAAGGAGAGAACTATCTCGGAGGAAGAAGAGACGATACGAAGACGGTACCTTCGTCGAGCGTGAGCTGTTGTGGATCCGCCGGGATTCCAAGGGCGCCGCGAGTTGCCGCGAGTCCTCTCGCCGCGGCCGGGGGGGGAGTCGCGACCCACGACGTCGCCGGGTTCACTTAGGCTACGTACCGATCTCTGGGCGCTGGGGCTACGTTCGGCGCACAGCTCGCTCGCGGGACGCACGGTAGGCGTGGAACTAGTCGCGAGCCCGTGCCAGAGACTTCGTGGCTGTCGCCATTTGCAACCGTCGACTAGCCCGTGTCGTCCGACGAGCGACGGCCGCCCGTCAAAATGCCAGCGCGCACGCGCGATCCACGCTGGCGCGTGGAATTTCGTATTTCGAACCGCCAAGGCGGTCACCCGCGATTGATCGCCGCGAAAGGGCACGCCGGTTCAAGCCCACGGTTTCTTCCAGTTTCTTCGCTTCGTCCGTGGCCTCGGGATTGAATGCGAAAGGTTAAAAGGGTCCGCGATCGAACGCGAAGAGTCGCCGCATCGATAGGAATAATCAATTGATTTGGCCAAATATGGTAAACTGATATTCATGGTTGATTCTTATTTTAAGATCGTCTTAAGGTGCGACGTCTTAAGATGCTATTCTCTTATCATGACATCTTAAGACAGTCTCATGCTTTCTACGATAAGCTATTATCTAATCTTTAAATTTTTAATGATAAGAAATTAATCAATTATAGTCAATTCTTCTCACATTTGACTGTGATCAATCTTTTGATTGAACGACTTAAAGCTTATTGTGAGAATAAAGATATATATAAGAATCAATTATGAATTAAATGAATACTTTTTCACTTCAGATACATTTAATTCGGAATTGCAACTTATTTTGTAAAAGTATTATGTTGATCAGTTAATGACGTTATCATTTTGAGGGAATTAAATAAGGCGAGGAATTAAATAATTTTTTAATAATTCTATTTATTTTACTTCATTCCTATTTACTTCATTATAATTTAATGAGTAATTGCACACGAAATTGTCACTCTAGTTTACAAATAGTAGTTATATAAAAGATAATACTACAAATATATGGAAGCGATCTCGTATGAAAAAATTTAATGAAATTTGAAGAACATGTGTCACTGTTGGAACATCCTGTACATATTACATTGTGTAAGATACAATATACATCATATACAAATTGAAAACATTTTACTATTTTTCTAATGCTCCATTGTACAATGGTGTGATTAGGAGTACAGTCAACATGATGCTACAAATGTTTCTTTATCTTAATCTTTATAATTGGTCAAAAGTTCTTCAAAGAATTTGTAGTGAAACTTTGACCATATCCTGAATCAGTCTAATCAAAGATAAAGAGACGATTGTATATTACGTTATTTGCTGTATTTTTTCCAGCAACATTTCTATTCTGCCCTTCATGACAGGCTGTCCCTTCTTCGTCTTCTTCGATAATACCTTGTAATTTTGCAATTTCTTCTCCCTATACTTCTTCAGGGCTTCCTCTCGTTCTGCCTTTATACGAATGGCATTCTCTAGCCTGTTCTTTTTTTCTTGCTGCTTCCGCTGATATTCCCGTTTAGCTTTAAAGAAAGCACTGCTCTTCTTCAATTTGCTGTTTACATACGAATAGATTGATCAATATTAGATTTCAAGTTGTAGATTCTGAATAGGTTCCAAGTATTTTACATACCTAGTCTCATTTTTGGATGTATTACTTAAATTTGATGACGTTCCCGCGGAATTCTGCTGATCCTTTTTAAGTTCTTTATAATATTCCCGTAATACAGCCTTCTTCCTCCTCTCTTCCCATTGATTAACTAATACAAGGAAGCAAATTTTAAATAAACAATAAACTTAACCTATTCGTGGCGTACATCGTACACATACTTTTATACTTGTTGCTATACTTCTGTAATCTGTACTTCTTTTTGTCGAATTTCTTCTCCCGATGTTTATCTTCAATATCACCTTTATCAGTTCGAACTTTATCTTTCACATTCCTCGCATTGTTCCTCATGTTCGATGTTGGTTGACGTAGCACACGTAACGTAACGATGTAACCACGTGTTTCCCAATCTTTGGTGATCAATTTCAGATTTCAGGTGAAAAATCAGCTGTACACTAACGCCTCTCGCGGCAAATGTTATAACTAGAATAAAAAGCAATCAATGGTAAAAATGATTTGAAAAAAAAAAAAAAAAAAAGAAAAATATCAAGTTTTATTTGAAAAAAAAAGACAAAAATATTAAGTTTTATTTTGTTGTCAGTACGTGTTTTAAACAGAACGTGTTTAAAAATTTAGGATACGCATTTTAAACATGATTTAATACAACACATTATTATATACGCGAGCACGAAATAAACAAATTATATTATTACACGAATAAAAATATTTAGAAATACACGTTATATAAAAATTATAAAATATATAAAAATATATATTGTAAATGTAAGTATAAAATATAATACAAAATATATAAATTATGTGTTCCAATATATAATATGTATATTTGATGTATATTCGAAAGAATCGCGTAATTTTTATCAGATATTTTTTTATTTTTTAATACATATATATTTATCCAGCCATTACAAAAGAAAAAATGTTAAATTATATATTGCAGAAATGAATGACGACAGTAACTTGGTGGGAATTTGTAGGAATTACTTAATGCGAGAGAATGCTTATAATTATACAACTCTTTATTCGAGATTACCTGTCATTGTGTTACGTGTGAGTTTATTCATGGCGGTGACATTGGATAATTGACCATGTTAATTTATAGACTTGATGATCGATCAGCGTTAGATCGGAAGCTGCAGAATGGCAACATGATCGCTATGCGTGTGTCGTCCAACAATTTCGTTTCATTAACGATAAGGTTGTCTTACACAATTTCGTGCTAATATATATATTGCATTCACGTCCTTGTAGAAAGGCTTGCATCAAAAAGAATGGAATTTATGCATGGAAAAAACGATTTTGCTGAAATATATCTAAAAATTTAAGTTAGATAAATCTTTAAATTTTTCTGGAATGGAACTTCACTCTGAAGAGTGAAAATTCTTGAAAAAGAGTACCTCAATTTTCAATCTTTAAGCGTGAAGTCCAGAGCATAGATCTTTGCATAACGTAGAATGCAAAAAACGTAAGAAAATCAATCAATCAGTCTTTTATTTTATGGAAAGGAAAGTAATGAAGGATTTTGATTGGTTCATTTCCTTGTAGGCTTTCTACAATAAGTCATTATCTAAGTTTGTGTCTTTAAGTCATAAAAAATTGATCAATCATGTTTCACACACACACACACAATTTTTTTTCTCACAGCCGAATGTGAGAATAATCGACTATGATCAATCAATTTCTTATGGCTTAGGACATAAAGCTTAAGTAATAGCTTATTGTAGAAAACTCTCATTATGCATTTATGCATTATGCATTATGCGTTATGCAAGGCTGTGATCCCAGATTTCACTCTAAACTCACTCTTCGGAGAATCACTCTAAAGTTTTAGAGAATACAGAAAATAATTTTGTTAGACTATAAACTACTAACTATCAAAATAATTCTGTGGAAAATTCAAGCATGATGACTAACGTAAAAAGTTTTGACATTCTAATAATCAAGAATTGAGAGTTCCACATAATTATTTTAATAGTCCAACCAAAATTATATTTTCTCAAAGATCTATATCTAAAAATTTAGCAAAATATACTTAGCTATAAATTTTTAAATTCAATTCATTTCAGCAAAATTGTACTTTTTTCATGTACACACTCTTGAGTGCCTAACGTTTTAACAAAAATTCTCAATAATTCGCGATGTCCGCGTCGTTTCTTCATTATGTATCTCGTGTTTCCCGACTGCGTTTGCAAGAGATTGGACAATTATTCATAGCTCGGTACGTAGACGAGGAAAACAAGCAAACTGACGTCGCTGAAAAGATAGTAGCTCAACGGTATGCGCTCTACCGGGCTATTATTAGCTGACAAAATCCGAGACGAGCATAGAATCCGAAGCCAGATTCATTCGAAGGCATTTGCCGTTCGATTCCTTCGACCGTCGATCACCTCTTCATGATTCAATGTCGAGGATATGACAACGAATTGATCGAATTGATCGATCACTCGTAACATTTTACTGAATATCGAAGTAGGATACATCATTACTTATCATTACTCATACTTTTATAACATAAAAAATTAAATTACAATGTACAACGGCTTTAATATGCATTAATGCGCATTTTTATATTGAAAGAAAAAAATTGGCTGCTGCAGCAAATTAGATGGTAAATATGGTATATCATTTTTAATTGGGTGCAACAGCCAATTTTTGGTTGCGTTAGCCTATCCGCAATGTCAGTATAAAATTTCGATAGGCTAACGCAACCAAAAATTGGCTGCTGCAACCAATTAAAAATGTTATGTCATCAGCCAATTTTTTCTTTTAGTGTACGTTCAACTGAATTCGTTATTAATTAAAACAATGACGTCATTAACTAGATGTCTTAAAGACATATCATGACGTTCTCCGTAGCGAAATCTTACGCAATTATGGGAAAGATTGATCAAGAAGGTTATTATGCACGACAGTCTTATCTTCGATCCATATTAGGAACCTGTGACGCCTTTTATCGATCGACATAAACCTCATGGAGGTGACGTCACACCAGTCAAGTTTCCTTTCCTCTCACATCGATGGTGTCTGTTTTCGTCGATGGTGTCTGTTTTAAAAATGAGAGAGGAAGTCCGTCGCCTCGTAAAGAATCTCACCTGGAGATATAAAAGCGATGACATTGACACACTTTAGCATCAACCTCGATGATCTCGAGATCAGCATCTTTTATTCCTCTCTTTTATTACTAGATACGTGAGATACTAAAAAAAACTCTTATTAAAACTCTTATTAAATCCTTGTGTGAGCTCGTAACGAAAATCATTTTCTCAAATGAAACATGTTTAAAAGTTTAGCAACGTTGTTTCAAATTTCTAAGGCAAATGAAAA